ATCTATATTGAGCTTTTGAAATTGGGAGAATTGTTATAAAACTTAAATATCCAGGATTTTGAGGGTAAACCACTGCTTAGAGAATTGCTAAATAAGTAGCTGAATTCAGGCTTCATTGAAATATCTATGAAGTGTGAACAATATCATGGGATATAGATGATCTTGTTTCTTGGCATTGGTGTTTAATTCCCCCACATGGACAAATAAACTGATTTTCGTTGTTCTTGTTACTCAAAAATTGATAGGGACACTTTTGATTTGAATTGTCACGACATGTGCTTTGGATTGTTGTGGGACTGACTTGGATAACCATATTTTCTTTTTCAGGTTAGAGAAACAGTACGTGATGTCATCTTCTTGCATAACGAGCTCTTCTTTGCTGCAGCGCAGAAGAAGTACTCTCTCTCTCTCTCTCTCTCTCTCTCTCTAAAATAGAGAAGCATCTCTCTTTTGACTTAGCTTCAATCATCATCTAAACACTTTGCATACTAAATTTTGTGTGCGTGGTTATGATGGTTTCTGCATGGTTGTCCATGTAATATGATGCGTGTTCTGAAACTACTTTACAAAAATGTTTAGACACTCATTATACTCTGGCTCATTTGAAGTCTGACCTCGTGAACTTCTTGCTTTTATGAAATAATTTCCCATACTATTTAAAACTGGATGTTATCCAATCCATTCATCAACTGTTAGGTTCTCATCAATCTGCTGCACCCTGTACTTTGTGTGCAAAGCATAATATGTTCCCTATGCTTAGGAGAAAGTTGAAAGTTGAGCCCTCATTTGGAAACTTTTGTGAAGTGACTCTTTATATATTAATGAAGTTTGTCTAACTGCTGATTGATGAAGTGGGTTATGATTGCTCCCACCCAAAAAACAGTCAGGTGGTCGAATTACAAATTACCCACTTACAATAAATAGGGACATGTTTCAACCTTGTCTTTGTTATTCAAGTGAACCACCAAGCATTTTGTTGTTTATACATCTTAAATTGATACAGCAATTTATACTAAATGTATGGATATCCAAACTGGTAAGTAGACAATTGTGGTGAATGTGGGGTTAATTCTTCTCTTGGATTAAGATGATCTACTTTCAAGACTCATAATGACATGGTAAAAGACGCAGACGAAATTATAATGATGATTCATGGAAAATTAAAGTTGTCAACTCACCAGAATTACAGTGGTGAAGTTCTAGAATAATCGGAGTAATGTGTTGTCTCTTGTCCATTAAAATAAAGCAGTAAGCTGTTGTTTAATTGGTTTCAGTCAGGAAGATTTTGCAAATTTTGCAGCTTTTGGAAGAGCAACACATCTTATCATATGTATCTTCCTTGAACTTGGTAGGTACCCTTATATCTACAGCAGGGACGGTATCGAATTGCACTGTCTAAAGGTTTCTATTTTGTTTTCAAGTAATACCTAATATACATCTATCAACTTTTTGTGGCATTTATTGTTTTGATTAATAAATCAGTTACTCTCTTGTCATGTTTCGGATGACTTTCCTCTGTCCTTATCTATTGTTATTTGGGATTCGTTTTTTGCTAGTTAACACATTTAAAGGGCCTAGGAATTCCTAGAGTTGGTTCTTTCATGACACTGGATGAAAGATGTTCTGTGAGCATCCTGGTGGCACTTACATTTTCTGGCTGCCAAGTATCTCCATCACAATAGCTTTCCTTTTAGTACATGAGATCTTCGAGTATTTCTCCAGGTTCCTCTTGTACATGATATTGCCTTTTTGTCCGGTTCTTGTTCCTGTAAATATTACATTATTGTCATATGAAACTGGCCAATAATAGAAATCTTATTGATGAAATTCACTTACATTTAAATTCCTTTTTAAGGGCCGACTGATAATTACGGCGGAATCCCTGATAGTACAACCATAAGGAAAATGTTAAGAAATGCTCTAAGTCACTGGTTTAGAGGATGCTCTTAGGGCATTGGTAAGTACGTCAATGTTACTTTGAAAATGATAGGAGATTGTTTTTTGGCCTGTTCGGTTGTCTTGTGATACATGGAAACAGTATATGCATTCCCAATTGCACTTTTTGGTTCATCAATTATAATGTCCTGAGGACGCTCATAAACAGGATCATTTCTATAAAATTTCATCTGAAAAAGTAGCTTAAGTTTTGAAGTTATTCTCCAGTGGGTGACTCCTCTGTATTACTTAGTAACTTGACTACTGGCAAGTTTCCTATGGTTTTTACTGGCAAGTGTCTGTGCAACTCAATATTCCATTACACATCTCCTCTTGCTGTGTGCCAACAAAGTTGAAATCTCTACTTTCACATGAAAAATTTTCTTTTGTAACTTTGGACTATTGACTTTCTCAGAACGATCTTTAGTAGTGCTGACAATTTTGGATCTTGGAATAAAACTCTGGTTTTGCATTTTTGTAGGTCTTAGGTTATACAAATGATAAGCTACCTTTATATGCGTAGATGCAAAGTGGGAACGTATATATTCATAGAAATCTTTGAAAGAGCAAATAAACCATGGGGCTTCTAGGCTGGCTTCATATCTTTGTTTTTGTTGCAAATTTATAGAAAATTATCTAAAGACTACTGTGGATCAGTTTCATTCTAACTTTTCCATCTTTCAGGAACATGGAGCAGTGCTTAAGCTTCAATTTCTGAAAAACCATTTCCTCTTGGCATCCATAAATAAATTCGGCCAGCTTCATTATCAGGATGTTACGATGGGGGGGATGGTTGGCAACTTCCGGACTGGTTTAGGTCGAACAGATGTAATGCAGGTGAATCCCTTCAATGGGGTGGTTGCTTTGGGTCATTCAGGTGGGACGGTAACCATGTGGAAGCCCACCACTTCAGCTCCTCTCGTCAAGATGCTGTGTCATCGCGGCCCTGTATCAGCATTGGCATTCCATCCTAACGGCCATATCATGGCAACTTCTGGCAAGGAAAGGAAAATCAAAATATGGGATTTGAGAAAGTTCGAGGTTCTTCAAACTTTGCCTGGCCATGCGAACACCCTGGATTTCAGTCAGAAGGGTTTGCTTGCTGCTGCAACTGGTTCATTTGTGCAGATGTCGGGAAATTTCTCGGAATCTCAGAGCTACAGCAGATACATGACTCATTCCATGGCGAAAGGGTACCAGATAAAGAAACTATTGTTCCGTCCATATGAAGATGTCTTGGGCATAGCTCACTCTATGGGCTGGTCTTCTATTCTAATTCCGGGATCAGGAGAACCTAACTTTGATTCTTGGGTTGCAAATCCATTTGAAACATCTAAGCAGAGGAGAGAAAAGGAAGTGCGCTCTCTTCTTGACAAACTTCCTCCGGAGACCATCATGCTTGATCCATCAAAGATTGGCACGGTGAAGCCACCAAGTAGAAAACAGAAGCCTACCAAGCAGGAGAGAGAATCGGAGATGGAAGCCGCCGTTGCAGCCGTCAAGGACATGCCGATGAAGAAGAAAACAAAGGGGAGGAGCAAACCGAGTAAGAATGCAAAGAAGAAGCAAGAAATTATTGCGAGAACCAAGAGGCCTTTCTTGGAACCACAGATGAAAGAAGAGGAGGCATTATCTAGAAAGAAGCAAAAAACGAGCGAGGAAGCCGAACTGCCAAAGTCCTTGCAGAGATTTGCTTGGAGAAAAGCGACATGATCAACTTGCCTCCGATTTTTTAAGGTATATGTCCAGTGATGATGTAGCTCAAAATTTTGTTTTCTTTACCATTACAATGGTGTCCGGAGCAATAGTCCGGTTCTCTCCTTGTTTTTCATAGTCTGCCCTTTTAAGGCCTCGCTCTAGTTGGTGCCATGAGGCTTATTGACTCGATCAAAATCTGTTGGAGAGCATGATAATTTGCAGTGTCCGGCGGCGACAGGGAATGTTTCAGCAAATGGGTGAAAATGTTGGTATATGCATCATGGGCAAAGATCAAACACAGATTGGTTAACTGTGTAAAACTTGTCTTGTATTTTTTTTAATAAGTACATTAGAAGTCCTAAAATTTATCACGAAAGTGCAATTAAGTTCTTAAATTTTCAAAAAAATGCAATCAAGTCGTAAACCTTGTCGCAAAATTATAATTAAGTTCTAAAACTTTTAAAAAGTGATCCCCTCCCCGTATATTTTCACCTCCTATCCTTATCAAAGTTTAACACCATCTCAATAAATTCTCTCTCACTTTCGGTTTTCACTCATCCCTCTTCTCCTACTCCAAAACCCTAATCTCACCGTATCTCTGCGCAATTAAAAGGATTATGACATAATCTTCTCGACCCGAAGCCCATGACGACCGACAAATGAAAAATGACACAATCTTCTCGAGCCGAAGCCCATGACGAGCGACAAACGAAAAATGACATTAGGAAAAGAAAAATGGAAAGCCTCAAAAGGCAAAATGTACTTTTTTTTATATCTTTTTAATAATAATCAGGAGAAAAAAAGGAAGAATAACAAGCAGTGGAAAAAGAGAGAAAGGAGAAAAAAATCAGCCCGGCCCAAGAACCGAACCGGAGCCTCGGAGCCCCGGATCCGGGGCCCCCCCGGGGAGAGGGGGGGCCATGCGTTACCGACCCGATCCAAACCGTTGCTTCCTTGTCGGGACGCGCCACGTGTCGCCCCCCACGGCGCTCCGTGACCGCAACATTCACACACGAGCTCACCGGAAAAAATACAGAAAATAAAAAAAATTAAGGAAATATTAATAACTCCTGTGAAACACAGAGAAGACAGAAGAGAGAAGAGAGAGAGAGAGAGAGAGTTGTTTTTCTGTGTCATCACTTTCATCATCATCATCACACAGACACACAACACTTCAAATTCGTTCCCTTCGCACGAGATAACACACACACACACAAACCCCCCACAGAGAGAGAGAGAGACGCGGACAGAGCGACGCAGACCCCCGCAGCTTGACAAAAGGGTAAGCAGCTTCCAGACCCCCTCTCTCTCTCTCTCTGCAACCCTTTTCGTTACCTTGCTTGGGCTTTCTTTGGGTCGAGCCAGGTGTGTCGGGTGCGCGCGCGCGTGAGCCTTGCAGCTGAAAGGGGCGCGCTCTTCCTCTGTGTTGGGGTTCGGTGTTTCTGGGGGTTCGTGCGGCTGGCAGGGAGGCTTTTGGGGATGGCGGGCTCGGTGGAGAAGGACGAGGTGGTGTCGCTGGAGCTCCCCGCTCCCCCCGGCTGGACCAAGAAGGTGTCTCCGTCTCCCTCCCTTCCCCTCTCTCTCTCTCTTTCTCTCTGTCCGTCTCGGGCTTTCTTGCTTTCGGCTTCGGTGCTCCGTGTCGAAACCATGACGACATTTTTGACCCTTGACCATGTTCAAAGTTTCGATCTTTGCTTTGAATATTTGCAATTTTGTATGCGGAGACTTGGTTTGGGGTAGGTGGAAATTCGTTGGTCTCGCGAGTGGTTGGTGCGGAATTCGTGATTCGGGTATTAGGTGATGGGGGCTAGGGTTTCTGGAGCCCCCGCCGTGTTGTTCCGAAGAAGGCGTTTTGCCCGAGGAAATGCACGCCTCTGCAAATTGGCGCGGGAGTTGTTTGAGTCGTGCGCGTGTCTCTGGATTTTGTTGCTGCTGTGTTGTGGAAGAGGTTGGAATTAATTCTAGTGAGCTGTGACTTTCTAAATTTGTTACGAGACGCTAGGGTTTCTGGGATGGAACTGTGCTCTGTTGGCACTTATTTTTATTTCCTTCCTTTAGCTTTTGAGGCCTTAGTCTTGTTATTGTTTCCCGTCAACGTTTCTTTAGGGTAAGTGTTTCCTCAAACGTTTTGGTCCATGATTTTATCGAGACGGTGGGTTTTTTGCATTGCGAAAACAGGAAAATTTGCATCTAATGATGGTCCTCTGTTTCTTCCTTTCCTGTTCCCCCTTCTTTGGTTTTCTGGTAGAGGATTCAACTTGTGTTGTCTTTGGTTGGGAACTAAATGTTCTGTTCAAGTCTTGAACATCAGCTGTTTATTTTGTCAATCTGATGCACATGGGAAGCTACCTGATATTCTTTCTTTGGTCACTGGAAAGCTACTGTGTTGGCGGAAAGTGGCAGTGGTGTCATTTTTGTATTAGTAATGCCCAAAACGTACACAACAAAGGAATTGTGTCTACATTTTTGCCATTGTTTGAAACCCTAGGGTTTGCATTGAGACATCGTGTGGAGTCAAAGGTTTTTCAAATGACTACAGAAAGAATGGATTTTCTAACCAATCCTAAATTTTAGCCTTTGTTCCATGACCTGTGATTTGCATTCAGATCTAATGTCCGTTTATTTATAATAAAAAAAATGCTGTAAATTGAGTTGTGCAATGAAGCCTGATTGTGTAATGGTTATTTTCATGAAGTCCTACCATGTTGTGAAATCTGAACTGTTGGTTTTCATAATTACAAGCCTAAAGGTGTATTGATTTGGAAGCTTTGGATGGAAGTGACTCATGATTTTCTCATCATTTTTACAAGGGTGTTACTTGTAATTATCTTCTATTACATCAAGTGGGATTATCATGCCGACTCTATTCTTATAAAATTCTTGAGCTAGATGAATTGGGTTGATATCTCTTTCCTTTCTTTTGATTTTGAGTTGGGGGAGAAGAGTGAAAGCGAAAGGGGGATTTTTTTTGTTTAGTGGGTGTTGTGGGGGAGGCGGTAATGTTGAGGATATTACATTTTCTTTGAGTGACTTCTTAGAAAACATGTCTTCACCTCTTTTAGGTGCAAAACTAACTCAAATATTGGGCCTTTTAATATAGTTGTATTAGCTTTCCCATCATGCGCAAAAACTACTTGGTTTACGTGAAATTATTTTGACTGAGGCATTTGGAGTCCACATGTGTGTGGGTTCTGTACTTCCCTCTGATGGAGATTTTGTCAGTTCTCTATAATAACATCTTTATCTATTCCTTTTGATTTCGTGTCCTATAGTACTAAGGTGAGCGGTTTGTCCTGGTGTATTATTTGAAGAGCCTTGATCATCTTTGATTTTCAATGTTTGAAGTTGGAAGTGTAACAGGAATAGAATTGATTTCTACCTACTAGGATGAGCTTTTCTTAGTTCATAGAAGTATCAAGGAAATGGACAGATTTTTGGAGTGTATGACTGGCCTTATTGGAAAACTCAGGGGCAGTTTGGTTTTCAAGCAATGTTTTCAGAATTCGTTTCCACAGATAATGGACTGAAAAAAAAATTTCTTTTTCATTTCACTTTTCTTGAACGCATGTTGAGTTTGTGAAAAAGATAATTTTCTCAACAAGGATGAAAATTATTGATACATGTTTGTGCTTAGTTCTTCTCAAATCAAAAGATTTATGAAAAAGATAAAAGCATTTCTGGGAGAATTTTTTTTTTCCTTTCTTATTTGGTTGAGACAATTTGCACAAATATATACAAAATAGATGCACTAATAGCTTGACATCTACTTGGAAGTATATCATTGCAAAGTTCATCAAAAAGAAAAATTACCTCTGTGTGTATTTTTACATTAATACAATCTTGAAGATACGTATAAATGGCTTGCCAATGGTCCGCTTGCTGTGGCTTCTTATGGGTGCTTGAAACTGTTACGTTATCATGATGTCATATGGCCTCACCAGAAAAGAAATTCATGGTACCCTTGGTCTTCAAAGCTTTAGCTGCTCTATTTGGAGTTGGGAAAGGTGTGGTACCTGATTTGTGGCTGTTTGCTCTGTCAAACATTGCCTATTTCTTGATTTGTTTGGAGAGGTGATTCTCTGAAATTCTGGACGTTGAGATATTCGAGAAAGCAGAATATAAACTGAGGTGAAGAAGGGATATCTCTTGGTTATTCCTTGGAGCTATTGGCCAATATAGGACAGAGCATAAAGATCGAATATCTTTTCTCTGAAGCTTTTGTGGTATAAATAGATCAGAGAGTAATGAAGGAATAGATACTTGAATGGAGGTACCATTTTGGTTTAGTGAACTCTAGGCAATCATTTTATGAACATTGGAAACAAGAAAGCTGTCCGACAATTTTGAATCTCAAAATGAATAGCTTGAATGCAATGCTGCGTGGGTCTTCTATTGATCAAGGAAGCTGTTCTTCCTTAACCATATCGAGGCTAAAAGTTCAGCAATAAATTTTAGGCGGATATTCATATGAGTTTGTCCCCCGATCCTTTAATCGACAAAGTTGGTTTTGGGTGATTAACGGTTGGAGTCTGTTGGTTTGATAGATGTAATGGAGAAAGACAATATCTAGAAAGGTTTGAGATGTAATATATTTTTAAATATGATTTGCGAGAAATATAGCTGCTGGTGGTGCCTTTTTTGCAGCTAGTCCTTTATTCACAAAAGGGGAAGTCTCAATAGCATGTCACTATATGACCAGCTTTAGACTCCATCTCGGTTCAATATGGGAAATAGGAACCTGAACAAGTGAAGAGACTAGCTTTGACTCATTTTTAAGGTACATTTATTGTTTGAGATAGACTTTTATTGCATTTACATTTCGAAAAAGATCTGTCTTGCCTTTTCATTCACTGTTGCATGCGCCTCTAACCAGGGAATCAATTCTCATGAATAAAAAGATCATCCTACTAATGTGAATCTGTATTTAGTAAATATTAGGATGAAGGAAGTTGGTCGGTGCATTAGTGAAAATGGTCTCTTGTACTCGGCATATTTCAGATAACAAGGTGGAGGCTTCATAATCGTCAAGCTCTTTGAAACTAGTTACACGTGGACTGGCATATTAGTGAGGGTGAACCTTGGAGTTTGATTTCGAATGGGGGCAAATAGAAAACCTTTGGAATTGATTTCTAGTCTTGACTAGTAAATTTGTATATACTATGTAACAGGTTTTCTACTATTAGCTGTTTGTGGTCTAGGAGAAAAATCTGAACAGTGTAACAGAGATTTGAGCACTGTTTAGTTTTTAGGAACTCGGAACTGTCTGTGCCTGTGAAAGTTTAAGGATGAGACATAGGCAATAGGGACTTTTAGTTCACTTCAGTTGGTTTAAAGTGCAAAGTTGGCAGCTGGTGGAAAGTATTGAGTGAAGGAGTAACATGATCTGCTGAAGTGCTCCAAAGCGTGATAACATGCAAGCACTTGAGAACATACATTGATTAGACTGTGTTTTGTGCACTGCAAAATCACAGTAGATGCTGGCAGTTGCCTTACAGATGACATCCCTTTCTGCATGTGGAATAAGAACAATCGAATTGTTCGAGTTATGACATCCTAGTCCATTGTGGAATTATCTAGACTAAGGTTTCAATTTTTTAGTTGCTGGAGTATTATCTACTGTGGTCTATTCAAAAGTGTTTATGGTTAATCTGGATGCAGTTTGGCTTTTATGGGTTCAAGTTCACCAGTGCAGTGATGTAATACCTTATAGAGGAGAGCTGGATTTGTTTGACATGCCTTTGAAGTTATTGAATTAGTTTTAAGTAAATGATCAAGAACATAAGGATGATGGTAATCATCTTGTCAACTTATGTGAAGTTTAATAGTATGTGTGTTAGACCAAGGAAATGAGAACTACCCTCTTATTTTCTTTTCATGAGTTGGGTTTGAGAGAAAATGTGATAAAGAGCTGACCTTGATCAAGTTCTAGAAGGGTGGAGTACAGATTTAAGTGTTTGCCGTGGACATAGCACCTTTCTGATTCTAACTTTGGCTGCTTAGTAATGAACATTAAGAAGAAATGATGCAAAGCACGAGGAAGTTTATGGACAAGTTGGAAGAAATGTATGTGTTTTTGCATCTTCGGCAAGACAGACATTTGAAAGACAGAAGTCTACTCTTTTGCTTCACTTTTCTCCACTTAATATAGTTTCACTGTTTCTTGGAATTAGATCGTGTTGCCTCCCATACTCTATTTGCATCGGAAGAGGCGCATCTATGAGGGAAGATCTCTTCCCTCATAGAGAGGATTTTGTGCAAGTTGGACTCCTTCAAAAGTTCTGTTAGTGTACTGGGTTGAACTTGATGTTAACAGATATGATCAGATTTTGTCATATTGACATTCCTGTTAACCACCACCCAATATTTCTGATACGGGAGCATCAAGTTCTATTAAAAGACCATTTGATGTTTATGCAAGCAAAGGGAGATTTCAGCCATATCATGATCCAATGGGTTCCAATGAGGAGAAAGCGTTCAAGACAGAGTTTCTATATGTGAAGAATAAAGGCTCATCAACTGAATTAATTGCTGAAGGGTTGTTCCCAAAATTAAGTATGTTTACTAATATGAGTAGGTCTCCAGTTGAAGTTGGTTTTTTTAATTTGATGTTTCCTAGTTTAGTATTTCCTAGTTTAATGTTTCCTAATTTTACATTTCCAAACCGAATGTTTCCTAGTTTAGTGTCCCCTCTATAGATAAGAGGTGCACTCTCAGTTGTATGCATGCAGTTTCTTGAGTTGATAATATATGAGAAATTCTCTCAAGTGAGTGATTCCTTCAGTTCTTTATCCAATTCATTGGTGGTGAACCTTAAAGTTCCTTTTTCTTATGCTGGTGGAACTCTTTTATCCCAAAGTTCTTTTTCGCAAGCACATCAAACACTTCTGGACAGTGTAATTCGTTCAACAACTTCACCCAAACTCACCTTGCATCAATTTCTTGATTGATAATGGCTTAGTAATGGAATCATTTGATTGAGAAAACTCAAAATTTAAATGTTTGGATAAAAACCTCGAATACATTAGATCTACTAACCAGCCATTGTCTCTTCTTCTTCTTCAAAAACTCTCTTTTTTAGTTCTTTTCAACCTGTCATCAGCCCTTCTATGGAAAAGTGACATTTTCTTTTCACTGGAGGATCATGCAAACCACTCCCAAACTATCTACTTTGGCAGATGAATCTGCCTCATTTTTTACTGGGATCTTTCCTTTTTTTTTTTTCGTCGAGACCTGTCAAATCATCTTAATTTTGTCTGGAATCACATTTTTAAAATTTGTTGTCGACCTGGCATTAAGGTTATAGAAGATGCAATGACTTGATTTAATCATTATTCCTGGTTTGGTGTATTTTTGTTTTTCGGTCAGTTTTCTACCACTCCCAAATTTCCATATTATAACTTGTATTGCATGTGAGTATGAATCTTGAGTTGTTTCTGCTGTAAGAGTAGCTTTTTCCTCCCACTTGCTTTAGTGTATTTCCCTTTGAGCTAATTAACAGAACGTCATCGTGTTTGAATCGGTTACGAGAATTTAAAACGGAATCGGAAAATTGACACAGGAGGACACCAGCTTTAGTAGAGTCAAATTCAGAGTCTGTTGCACACACATCTGAAATGGAAACCTTTTAATGAGTTTAAAAGGGAATTGAAGTCGGTGTAGACAACTGAATGTCTCTCTCATATTTTCTGGGAACAATGCTGAATCTTGCTAAACAGATGATGGCAGCATGAGCTCAATTATGTAACTATTGAGTACCCTGAAGCCCCATCATTGTGAGGTCCCAAAGGATTTGAAGCTGGAAGTTACTCAATTGTTGTCAAGCTCTCGAAAAGTGTGTTTTTTTCTTTTTTTAGTTGAAAAGCTCTCAAAAGGTTAATATTCCCTTAGTTGGCTGGAAAACCTTTCAATTAGCCTTTGCATGTCTTGTAATAGGCAGCAGAGGAAGTGTCATTAGGAACTTAAACATACCATGCCTCCACATCTATGTTACCCATTTATATATACACGCTTCAGTGGAGAGGCAATATATGCTAATTCATATTTTAATGACTTGACCATTGTTGAGTGAGTTTTAGATCAATGCTTTCCCAGAACTTAAAATGTATTTTGGGTCAAAACATATGGTAGATCTGGACTCCGGAGCTGTGTGATCCCAGAGTGCCACTCAAGCTGGATGAAACACGATGAACGTTTGCAAAGCAGATTGAGAGTTGTATCTGCAAGCCTGGGCTGTTGAATGTTAATGTGTCCACAAATAAATTTAGCAGAGATGAGGCTGCTATGGTAATGCATTTTTAAGATTGGGACAGAATGAGACAATTTTGCTGCGACCTTGATCAAGAATAAGAAGAGGAGACCTTGGTTCAGACCTGTGGCGATTAAATTGCTCTGGGAAAAGAAATACAGTTCATGGGAGTGGTGAATAGGAGACCCGTGGAGCGATGTTAGATATCCAAAAGAAGGAAATAGGATTTATGGAACTAAGAGATAGAGGGTACTAAGTTGGGTGCAATGGCTTTAACGAACTGGTATAGCTGTAGACTCTCCGATTTGGAGTAGAAGGGTTAATGTTTTTTGGTGAGGCTGGATCTATCAATTATTGGGTCCTGTTTTTATCCGCAGATGAATGCATTCAACGCCTTAAAGAATATTTGACCTGTTTAGATTTAGGTTTGTGCTAATTTAATTCTGGAAAGGCTGTTCCTTTTTTTTTCTTTTACCATGGATTCAAGAGATCGTCTCTAGAACATGCATGGCATTTCTGCTGGTCAAATAATTTCTCTAGGATGTTTTAGAATTTGGTCCTGTAACTTACTTCTTTCAAGTAGCTTTAAGATAAGATGCTTTCCTTCTTGAGGGGTAGAGAGGTATAGTTTTTTTAATCTTATAATAATGTGATCGTCAGCATCTAATTTCATCGTCTACAAAGCATATTTTACCTTTATGCTGCCTTTTGAATGTCAGAATTTATTAAATTAGATTGTGTTATTGAAGTGCTAAGCACACAGTCTACACAATGCAAATGTGCTCTCTCTCTCGCTCTCTCTCTCTCTCTCTCTCTCTCTCTCTGGTATGAGGTTTATGCTTAGCATTCATTTTCTATGAGCATGATCTATATGTGGACCTCATCACTTTTTGACTCAGATCTGACTCTCCCTTTACTCTCATGTAAGATGTTCATGTTAAGCATTCATTTTATATGAGCATGATCTTGCATTTGGACCTCATCACTTCTTGACTCTATTTCCTTTTGTTTTGTCTGATGCAATGGTTGGTCTAATATCTGCAGTATTTGATCAAGAAAGGTGGGACTCCTAAGAAAAATGAGATTGTCTTCACTGCACCAACTGGAGATGAGATCACCAACCGGAAGCAATTGGATCAGTACCTCAAACAACACCCAGGTGGTCCAGCTATAACAGAGTTCGACTGGGGCACTGGTGAGACTCCTAGGAGATCAGCCAGAATCAGTGAGAAGGCAAAAGCAACTCCTTCGCCTGAAATTGAAAGCCCAAAGAAAAAAGCGAGGAGGACATCAGCTTCCAAGAAGGACAAGAAAGAAACTGCAGCTGCTCCTGAAGGGACTGAGGAGAAGAAAGAAGTTGACATGGCAAATGCCGAAAATACTGAAAAGGATATAGCTGAGACTGAAAAGGAAAAGGAAGCTCCTGAGGAAAATCAGGATGAGAATAAAGAAAGAGTTGAAGATGGTGATGTTAAGACTGTTCAAACTGAAGAGCCAACAGAGGGAGCCAATTCGGGCAAAGCTGAGGAAGCTAAGGAAAACAAGGCAGATGCTGTTGGATGTGATAAAGAAAATGAGAAAGCAGAAGATGTGGAGCTGAAGGAGAAGGTCAAGCAACCACAAGTTGAGACAGAGAAAGTGGATGGTCCTGGTGAAGTTAAAAAAGCAGAAGAAACTACTGGTGTGGACAAAATGGTTGATGGAGAAGAGAGGGATCAAATCAACCAGAGCGCTCCTGAACCTGAATCTGATATCAAGGAGAAAACAGCACCAAATGGAAGTGCTGACGACCCAAACAAGTTAGATGTTCACGAGATGGGCAAAAAGGTGGATGGCGAAGCGATCGAGAATGGAAACCGTGGAAGCGGACCTGGAGAGGTTGTGGCTTGAGACTTGAGAGCCTTCTGTGATTATTAGTCTGTTTAGGCCGCTTCTCTTTCCTTTAGGTTTGTGGGTACTTTTGAAATGACTGTAGTTTGATGGTGTAGCTATCTGATTGGTTCTGTACACAATCACAGATTAGGTCTCTGTAGTTACTCTAATGTCGTATCGTGTAATGACTACTGTAACATTATGGTGTCGGATGTCGACAATGTTATGTAGCTATGTATCCAATAAGTCTTATGTACGAACTTGTTATTCTCGAGGGTACTAAATTTGTCGTGCTGATTGGTGCAATCAACTTATATTAGCTTTGGTATCTTATGGGTTCCATAGATGTTGGACAAAAGATGCCAAAAAGCCGATTACAGATTGTTTTGAAGAACTAATACAGATACAGGTTTGACGTGAGATGATCCTCTATGCTTCTACTAACAAGGAAATCATGGCGCAAGCTTTCAGATTAAGGACATACGAGCACGAGTAGCATTTGTGGCATTCATGATTGATCAAGGTTGCATGCACCCGTCTAATAAAAGGTCTTAGAAGTTTCGCCATGAATTATATGAAGCAGAAGCAGAGAGTAACATCAAGGCTAAAACTAGGAGAAACTTATTGTATTTAAAGTACAATGAAGCAAGAATTTGAGGTACTTTTCAATGTGCGAAACAATGCTCAAATTGAATGGGCAACAACTTGTCGGCAAGGATGATAGCCGAGATATCTAATGCAGGAGAAAGAAAATTTCTTGAAGGGGAAGTAAAATGAAAATTGAAAAATCGTCGTCGTTTCTATAGTCCTTTGAGCACTTCGACGAGCCCTGTTAAGGTTGTCCATCTCTCAAAAGCGCTAGCTGATGTGATGAAAGCGACTTTGGAAGATTCAATGTCATTCCTTGTGACTGCAAATTGATGTGATATGACCAATGTAAACATCAGAACTTCAATGATAATTTTGGACTATTTTGGTGTTGCATGCTCAAAAACTATATCCACATAAACACAAACTATAACACAAGTAGAAAATAAAACACAAATTCATCAAACAGGTGGAGTTGATTCCAGGACAAGGAACATTATACCTGATGAAATTAATGAAGCTAGCGATGAATTAAATGTGTCCACCTCAGTCTTTTCTTCAGGACTTGAAGTCAGCTGCGGAAAATCATTAAGAAAGATTGAGATTGAAGCAAGATGAAAAGGAAAGAAAGGACTTTTTATAATTCCTATTTCTGTCACAGCTTTTATCAGCAAGTACACTGACATTGTGGCAGTGTTTGGTCAATGAACGTAGAATGAAAGAAAACTAGTTTTGATTGGGATCAGTCATTCATCACATGGCAGTTAAAGTGGAGAGAAACAGCAGTTGCCGATCAGTTAGCCTGCAACTGCTGCAAAATAACTAACCTTCGTGAGTGCAAGGTTGGCCTTCTGGAGCCATTCTGTCTCCGTGCTTCCTCCGAGAACTGAACTTGCCGCTGGTAGGTTGTTGTTATCTATGGCTTGTCCTACTTCACTCAGTTTGTACACAAGATCTTGCAAATATCCTGCAAGACATTTCATCCTCAGATTATTTGTGCGTGCAGTATAACAAGGGAAACACCAAATGCAAGGAAAGTGTTGTTAAAAGAACCAGAAAAAACACGTTAATTACATTATATTATCCTGACATGTTGCCCCAAAAACTAATGTTTGACCTGATATGATTATAACACAATGCAAGAACCTGCAAAATATATCGAATTGCGCAAGTTTTGGATGACATTATACAGTTGTTAGCAGAAAAAAAGATCGAAGTTATTCACGGTCCTTAAATTCCATAGCAGAGATGCATTGACCACCAAATTGAATCATTAGCTACTTATATAAAACAAAGAATAAGTGCGACTTCGAACGTAAGACTTCCCATATCTCAGCTAAATCACGAGCCATTGGATTCAAGTATATGTATTCCCCGACTTCAATAAAAGGAAGTCAGTTGTGCAACAGAGCACAAAATTTCATGACAAACCAAGACGCTTGACATTTTAAGAGGAAACAGATTCAGCTTACGACTAGGACCACAGGATTTTATCCAGTTGAAACTTCTGTTACGCTTCAAGTCAAAACATGATCCTTGTAGCTGACCAGCGTATGATTCCTCCAATTCCATTTTGAAAATTTAAACTATCATGCGACCATTAATTTAAATGGGTCGCAGAATATCCAATCCAATATGCACTAAAACACCGAGAGCATCACTGGGTCTATCTCAATCAATGCACTCCCATCACATTTTCTTGAGAACACAGCAGAGTTTGAAAGTGAGAAGACCAAACCCTTCTCTGTTTTGGATGAATTGATGATCCCTTGCCTCTCCAGCCTCTTCTTCCTGTCCTTCTTCACCTTCTCCAGGAGCTCCACATCATCATCAGCCTCAAGGATAGCTGCATTGGCACCGCCCAGTTTCTCTCTCCCTTCCAAAGAGAACAGGAATGTGGTGGTGATGAAAGAAATGGCAAGGCCTCTCCTGCTCACCGTTGCAATGGGGGTATCACTAAATGCCTTGCAGACAGTGATCCTGCTCCTCAACTGGTTCTTGTGTGGACTAAATGCAGTTGGTGACAGTGAAGAAGATGAAGAAGAGGAAGAGGAAGAGCAGGAGAGGAACAGGGGATTTGCAGTGGGAAGAAATGAGGCTGCCATTCTGCTCCCACCATCTTCTTTTGCTTAAATTTTCCGGTAGCTTTTAGTGAGAAACTTGAGGCATTGGCCAGTTTGGAGCCTTCAGAGGATAAGGTTTGCTGGATTCTGTTATCTGATCCAGTCATTCCGCAACTCAACTTGGGCATTTGGGTCATTTCTAGCACGAGAAACCAGCAGTTCTAAACCACAAAATCTGACTCCCTTCTTGTTTCAGACAGAGAACTAAGACTCGCTGACTATCACCACACTCAGCGCATTTTCTTAAGACCCGCATGGGCTTTTTTATGCCTCAAGAATGACGAGAGTTCTCGAGCTCGAGATAGATTCAACTTCCTGAGGCCACCCAATAAGAGCCACAGATTTGTGTTGACTTTTATAATCATCTGGTCTGATTAGGGTTGGAAATATCGTGTGCAGAGGGAGACCGGTGGACCAACACCACGGCTCTGAGCAGCACCTTCAGCCAAGAAAAGAAGAAGTCTGTCTGAAAGTGTTGGGCAACCCTTATCAATGGACGAGTTCACGCCAGACTAGTTCATGCTTAACCCTAACTCGCTCACCATTATTTCAAAATACACATGCAAATCACTGAATTATAATCCCATGCATATATCTAGGTCTAGGTGGGTTCGAGACCTCTAGGTATGGTTTGGGCTCTGAGACCTTTCTTTCGGGTATCGCTGGGTTTAGCTGGCGATCACTCTTTTGTCCGACATCCGTTCAACCCGATTTTCGTTGCATTGGGATGCCGGCGATCCCTAGTTTTGGGATGTGAAATTGAAATCTAGAAATCACAAATTTCCTAACACTGCAGAAAATCGAGGGATCGGTCTCGAATGGTAAAACATTAACTTTCGGATTTATGTGGTTGCATGTCAAAAGATTTGTTTTGACGTATAGAACTTGTACTTTAATGTTTAAAATGTGTTTTGGGCCTAGCATATCGTTGATCAACTTTTGATCAATCCTAAATCAAACTTAATGATTTAATGAAAATAAGGGCAAAACTCGAGGTGACAACACATATAAGAGAATTACATACTTTTAGAAATAATCTAATATTAGATTTTTTTTACGTGGAAAAACAAAATCATAATCTGATTATTGTTCAATGTATCAAATGTACGCAATGTGCAAAACTCAGCTTTATTGAATAAAAGGATTCTTCTCTGAAATTGATCTTCGTCATTTTTTAATATCAACATAATGCTTGGGATTTTTTGAGTATTCGACTAATCCCATTGGGTGGATGTGGTAGTCCTTCCATTCTACCCAGTAATTATTGGAGATGCATATGCCTATATTTTTCGGGATAACCTGAAGAGAATGCGCAAATATGATGACTCAAACCAAGGTTTTGGCTAGAGATGTGAAAGAAGAGATTTCGTTTGCATGGATGATATCTATTGGAGCAAAACAAGACGTGCTCTCTTTTGCTTTTCTGTTATTTAACATATCTTTTTAGGTTAATACCACGAAAAATCTCAAACTGGTACACTTGCGACAATTTTATCCCGAACTATTTTTTTACTACAAAAAATCCCAAACTGGTACACATGTGACAATTTTACCCCGAACTATTTTTTTGATCACCAAAAAACCCAAACTGCTACACTTGTGATAATTTCACCCCGAATTATTTTTTTGACCACCAAAAACCTCAAACTGGTGCACCTATGACAATTTTATCTCGAACTAATTTTTTGGACCACTAAATACCCCAAACCGGTACGTTTGTAACAAATTTACCCTCCGTTAGTGTCCATTAAATTGGATTAACATCACGAAAAATCACAAATTGATAAACTTGTGACAACCAGAGGGCTAAAACTCCAAATCGGTGCACCTGTCAATTACCATGTATAATTAAACTTAGCAATTTGACAGTAAAATTTAATGGAAACTAACGGATGGTAAATTTATCACAGGTGTACTAGTTTGGGGTTTTTTATAGTCAAAAAATTAATTCGGGGTAAAATTGTCACAGGTGTACCAGTGTGGAGTTTTTTGTGATCAAAAAAATAATTCGAGGTAAACTTATCACAGTTGTACTGATTTAAAATTTTTTATGATTAAAAGAATAATTTATGATAAATTTATCACATATATATCAATTTGAAATTTTTCGTGATATTAACGCCGTCTGTTTTAAGCACAAACACCAGTTCCCTCGAGCCACCTCAAAAGATGCGACTTTTGAGCTTGAAACAGATCATCCGACATCGGAAGAAAGTCGATTCCTTAGCCTGTTTGAAAGTCTTTTGGGTTAGCAACTTAGTGCTCGAGCGACGACAGCAGGACAGACGCGTTCGCCTTTGTTCCATTATAGAATTCACGCACTCCAATCACTTTTCGTGGTCTCTCTCGATCGTGCAACGAAAGGAAATTGACAGCACCCACAACTTCCTATAATGAATTTTCAGTTAGTAGTATCTAAAAGCCTTTTAGACCTATAGGCTAGGGCCACCACTATACATCTTAAGTTTGCTAGTCCTCACGAGTTTTGCAAATTGAGGAGGACGATATTTTAAGGGTGCATTTGATTCAACTTTTGTATAATGGCTTTGCATTTATGCTAGAGAGTTTTATTTTAAAGGGCTTTCATGAAAAATAAATAGTGTTTGGTAAACCTATCGCTTCGCTTTCAATTTTATGGGCCTCTCGCTCACAACCCTCCCAAACGGAAAAGAAAACTTCGCCCGCTCCAAACATCGAACCAATAGCTTTAGGCGAACGGAGGACGGCTTAGGCGATAGAGACAGCTCAGGCGACAATCTGCCAAGGTTGGCGCAATCTCAGGCGAGCTAGATCTGGTGGCCAAAAGCGAGCATCGACCCTCGGCAAAGCTTGCCGTGTTGCGTGACCCTTGGCGAGTCAGATCTTGAACCCAATGAGCACCGACTAGACTAATGTATTTTTAATTCTCTCAATGATACGATAGAGTCTTAAGCATTAAGCTTTCTTCTACTTCGTTTGAATGGTTGTTGTATAATATAACCTTGACTATCAATTTCATAACTTCTTTGTCACCACTTTTTCTTTCATCTTTGCAATCAATCTTTTCCTCATGCATATAGTCGGATGGTTATTATTGTCAATTTATTAATGGTTAAGTAGCTAATAACGTCTTTAAATATCATTTATGAATATGATGCCAAATTAATAAAAAAAAAAAAGAAAAAAGAAAAAAAGAACTCAGAACAAGAAAAAGAAAGAAACCCTAATTAGGAAGAGACAAAAGCAAGTTGAAAAGCCACGGAAAAGCTGGACTCTAATGATTTTTCTTTTTTGTTTTGGGTTGACTTCTAAGTCATTATCGTTCATCACAATTTTCTTTTCTTGTTGAACACTAAAGAAATGCTTCAGCAATAATCGAGCATAAAAGTAATGCTAGGGATTCGAATCATTCGATGCTTCTAAAGAAAGCCATGTATATAAAAAGTTAATGTGGGGGATTGTAAGTGGCAAGAATATTCATACCATTTGAAGCTCATGAGACAGAGGAAGGATCGCCCATTATTATTATTATTATTGCATTTTAATGACCAATTAAAAAAAAATTTTCTTTTTGCAGTTACGTTTTTCAGCTCTCACGTCTTATCTTACGTTATACATTGCTGTTACTTCCTACTATGCTCATCATTCAATGCTCTGCTTTGATACCCATTAATTCGTTTTTATTTCCTAATTAAGAGGGTCGTACATCCTTTATCCGATTGACTCTCCACTTTTCCGAAACATCTCAACTCGACATAAGATGTCTAAAATAGTCTAAAACAACAAATCAATCGAGATCGACGAAGCAATACTTCGATGAGAACCCTGTTTGAGAAGTTTAATGGATAGTTTTATGGCATAATAGCACAAATAGTCTTTGAACTTTTACTCCAAACTTTTAATTTGTGCAACGTGATTCATGAAATTTGGCTAAACTTGCAACCTTGTTCCCTAATTTTTAATTTATTCAACGTGATCCCCGAATTATTAGTAAATGTTCAGCAGTCGCTAGACCGTATGAAAATGTTTAAAAATTATGGGACCACATCGAACATTAAATTAAAGTTCGAGTTCGAGAGCAAACATTGCCCGTTTAACAAAAGTTTTACTAACCGACACAAGCAATCGCGACAAAATTAGTGCACCCCATCCCACGTTACGAAGACAGCGCGATCCGAACTCTGCCGAATCTACGTCATCAATTCTTTTCCTTTTTTTAATGTTTCTTTTTTTGGTCGAACTTTTTTTGTTTATCTTTTTATGTTTGTCCTTTTTTGTCAAATTTTTTTTCTCTTATATATATATATAAATTGAGTTTTTCGTTTCTTTTCGAAAACAACGTGACGCAGTACAAGCCAACGCCGACCACCGTGGGGTTTGTTCAACCAGCAATTATATTATTCACCAAACAAGAATAAATAAATCAAAAAAAATCCAAACTTTTTTTTTTTGAGAAAAAAAAGAAGCATTTTCCAACAAAGCCCCGCAAAAACTCACCCCCGTCTTTGAAAAGTCCCCCACGGAAAACGACCGCCATTCCAAAGCCTCCGCCCTCTCCTTCATCCCCTGGTTTTGTACACGTTCAGAAGAGAGAGAGAGAGAGAGAGAGAGAGAGAGAAAGAAAGCAGAGGGGATTTGAGTAGTAGCCAGATAAAGTGAAGTGGGGTGGTGTTCGTGGAAAGAGATGGGTGGGAAAGCGTTAAAGGCGTTAAGGCTTGCAGAGTGAGAGAGAGGGAGGGGGACGCGCGGGGGGGTGTGTGGGTGTGGTGGGTATTACAGAGTGGAAGGGAATCTGTGCCCGGACTCTTATGGCATGCCTGGTGGGGAAGAAGAAGCAGCAAGAGAAGACGCAGCAGCAGCAGCAGCTTTGCGGTGAAGGAGATCGGGTTCTCGGTTCTGCCCTCGTCCCGCGCCTCGCGATCGCCCCTCGTGGAGATCTTGTTTCCACCAGGAGGAGGAGATGAGGAGGAGCAAGCTCCTTGTACGGTTCCTCTATCTATTATTGCTCTGGTGTAATGACCCAATTGGTAATTTTCCATTTCTTTATTGGTTTGGAGTTTGAATTTTTGGTCTTTTTCCCTTTTCTTGCTGTCGGTGTCTGTGTGATTCTTGCTTATCTTTTCTTTTCTTTTCGCCGAATTTGGGTACCCGTGGTGATCGTCTTGATAGTGAATTGTTCTTGAATTGGGTCCGTTGAGGGTCGTGCGCTTTTTTAGTATATTTTTTTTTTCTCTCTTGTACTCTTTTAATTGTGGATATGATATTGCGAGTATGAAAAGAAGTTGAATTTGAATCGACTCAGTTCTGTGGTTGGTGATGGTCAGCCGTCACCTCACTTGACTGAACTGTTGCTACTTCGGAAAACTCATGACAGTTTGGATGAGAGTTTGCTTATTTCAATAGCAATTGGTGTCTCAGAGCTATATGTCTCAACCATTACTGTGTGTGTGCACCGAGGCAACTCGAGGGTGTGTGTGTTTGGGGAGGGGTGTCAATTGTGATCTGTTACTTGTCATCAGTACTTGTGATTGGGGGAATTCAAGAAAGATCACCTCCTGGATGGGGTTTCTCGGAGGTTGATTTTAAAGCATTCATATCGACCGAAACTGTTGCTTATGTAGTGTTCTGATGTGCATGATGTTAGGTTTTCGCAGTTCTCTAACTCTCTAGGACAAGAGAAAGGAAATCTATCTTATCGGATTTCTCTGTGCACAAAAAATGTCTTGCTCCATGTTAAACAAAAATTCTGCTGTGTTTCTGTTGCTTGTATGTTGCTCCGTTCGTTACTAGAGTTTATGTTAGTGTATGACTTTTGGGTCAAGCCTACTTGACAATCATAATGTTAATGCCACGCATCCTTCTTAGAGGATCAGTTGGACGAGAATTTCAGTCTTCTGTAGTTAGCTGTACATATTTTCTCAAAATTCAGCAGCGTATACTCGGTCATATTGATAAAAGTGACTCTGTATTTTCTCAGTTGCATGGGCCGCTGAAGCATTCGTCGGTACCTACGGAATAAATTACGGGAGGATTGCTGATAATCTCCCTTCCCCTGATAAAGTTGTTACTCTTCTCAGAGCAGCGAAAATAAGGAATGTACGTATTTATGATGCTGATCACAGCGTCCTCACAGCTTTTAGTGGAACTGGACTCGATTTAGTTGTTGGGCTTCCGAATGGTAACCTAAAAGATGTCAATGCTAGTGAAGATCATGCATTAGATTGGGTTAAACAAAATGTGCAGTCTTTCCTCCCTGACACGCGGATTCGCGGGATTGCAGTGGGCAATGAAGTGTTCGGAGGAACCGATTATGAACTCTGGGGTGTTCTTTTGGGCGCAGTGAAGAATGTGTACAATGCCGTAAAGAAACTTCAGTTGGACGATGTGGTGCAAATAACGACTGCACATTCATTGGCCGTCTTTGACAATTCTTACCCTCCCTCTTCATGTACGTTCAAAGACAATGTGGACCAGTACATGAAGCCTCTATTGGCATTTTTCCAGGAAATCGGTTCTCCATTTTGTGTGAATGCTTACCCGTTTTTGGCTTATCTGGATGATCCCGGGAACATCGACATCAATTATGCCCTCTTCCAGAAGACCCAGGGGATCTATGATGAGAAAAACAATATACACTATGATAATATGTTAGATGCTATTATTGATGCTGCCTATGTTGCTCTTGAGGGTGCTGGATTTAAAAAGATGGAAGTCATTGTCACTGAGACAGGGTGGGCTTCGAAAGGAGATAGTAATCAAGCTGCAGCGACGGTGGATAATGCAAGAACATACAACTATAACCTTCGCAAAAGACTTGCCTTAAGGAAAGGGACTCCTTTGAGACCAAAATATCCACTGAAGGCTTATATCTTTGCCTTGTTTAACGAGGATCAGAAACCGGGACCAACTTCTGAGAGGAATTTTGGACTGTTCAAGCCTGATGGAAGCATTTCGTACGATATAGGATTTCCGGCGCTTAAATCTTCATCTGCAACATCTTTGGTTGGCTCTTTGAAGGTATGAAGTTTATGATCATCTACATTTTTTTATTCTTGATAGATGATACCTGGTGTTTGTGGGAAATCGGTCTTGCTAATGCTATTTTAGGGGCATCCAATTTCTTTTTTAACGTAATACTAAAATTCAGAGGCGTGCTCATTGGGCCATTTTTCCTTTCTGTCGGGTTTCTCTTTTGATGCCAACTGCGGGTCTCACCATCTTTTTTCCCCAATGAATCGCTGTAGCATGGTTTTAATTTAGCCAATTTTCTTTTTCACTTAAAATGAGTCTAGACAAGAGAAACATCAAAGTCAAACTCTCCTCCTTAAAATAGGATGTCCTCATTGCTCTGAAGTGATACTCCACATGATGGTTGAGAAAAGTATTCTGTGATTGCAAATTTGAAGAAAGCAAGCTTATGCTCTGCACCTAAAGCTTTCATTCTACTAACTGAAGGAATTGAAAGTGAAAACATTTCATTCATTATTAAGTTGGGTAGCGTCATCATTTCATCAAATTGCCTGCTGACAAGATTGGTACTGTAAAATAGAGTGTTCTGATATGATAAGTGATTTGATTCTTGCAACATTCAAGCTTCCTGTTCTGACTCAAAAGCGTAACCGATATGCCTGGGGCCTTGAATGTGGTAACTTTGAATCACGATACTTTGAGCCTGATAGAAACCATTTACCAGAAAGTTTGTATTTTTGAGCCGTCAACCAATTAGTTAAATGTAGTTTGCATCCTATGGGCTCATATCAGTTGATGCAGAGATTTTTTTTACTCAACTTGGTTCCAACTGTGATCTTCTCCGGTGGCTACAATATTGCCTACATGCATTTGACCTTATCAAATTGGGAAAAATATACTATGACAGTGTTGAAGTTGGATCATTTGAGTAAATGGAAGATAGTCCATTCCACTAAATGGGCCAATTGTGATGAGACTGTAGTTTGAGGCTGCACGGAGATTTGCTTTATAAGTCCGTGGAATATGCAGAACGAATGGGTCACATCTAACTTGTTCATTTTTCTTGTACTTTCAAGTCATAATCCTCTCTATCCGAAGCTAATGTACATTTTTCACCAATGAACAACTGTTTCATATTGATTCGCGTGCATAGAAGATAATTTTTTGGGCCAAACGGGCTGAAAGTTTCAAAGTCCTCCATTTTCTCACACAGTTTTTTCTCTTGCTCTTGGTGTCTATGCAGGTCATTCGAGCTCGAGCTTGTTTTGGGTCAAATGCCATTGTACATGTGGCCTCTACAGTGATACTGATACTGTTTTCCAGATTCTAAAGTCGAGTAGGGTTTTTTTTTTTCGTCATTTGGTGCTCGCCATCTGAGGGTTGTAGGGTTCTACAGATTACGACGAATATAAAAGATGATATATTCATTTTCCAAGGAACGTTACCCAAAAATCTGCTGAGTATTTTCACTCCAGTAAGAGATGTATATGACTTTAGGCAGATTCAAAAGCCTCTCTTCCTATATCAGTATACAGGTCTCTCTCTCATCTCTTTCAAGGATTTCTGGGTGGTTCTTTACTGTTACTTGCATTGCATTGCTTTTTCATGTGACCAGTCTCTCGGGGGAAAAAGTACATCATACTGCGTTTATACTGCTTGACATGTTGATATAATATCACCAATTAGCGGCTTGCTTCTTTTGTTCATGGCTCGACCAGTTGTTAATATATGTACATATATTCAAACAGAGGAGATATAGTTGGGTTGTTAACATGTTACCGCTAGGCCACCGTGAGCTTGGCCCGCCGCCGCTCTGTGTAGGCATTATATATCTGATATACTTCGACAGCGTGAAGGGCTGCCAATTCACGTGTGAGTACCAAGGGTAACATCGCTAATGACGGCGCTCACGAAAGAAAGTCATTTTCATCCTAATAATGACATAATCAGCAGCCATTGTCAAAGGCATTTTCTGATTTCTACCTTACGATTTGAAGGCGAAGCTGAAGATGCTTCGCCTGATGATCATGAGGAGGAACACTATCATTTTATTCCACTTTTCAAAACAAGAATTGCTCATGAACAAAAGTATTATAAGACAACTCTTGGATAACATCTGCAGATGAGAAATTGGTGCAGATGTTTCGTCTGGGACAAACTCTACTTGGGATGGCTCATGTCTTGCATAGAAAACACCTAAAGGTCGGCAGATGTATTATTGACTATGTTGTCGACCGAAGCGAAGAACATTCTAACCTAAACGATATAAAACCAGTTGTTTCAAAAGTTCAAATCGTCACAGAACGATGCCGTGCATCTATCAACCTACTGTAAAATAACATGTATCAACCTACTGTAAAATAACATGTATCAACCTACTGTAAAATAACAAGCCGAAGCGAAAAATCGAACACGAGACTCCTCGCCATCAACACCCTGTCGAACGATATCCACAACTGATCTTCGAAAATGTCGATAATCAACGATGCGGCTTTCATCCTAGATATATATGCGCAAAATGTCGAACAAAGACAAAGAAAATCTAGAGGTCCAAAGTCATGTTTCAATGTCATAGCGAAGAAAAAATATGCTAGGCATATATAGTCAAAAAAAGGACCCGAAAAAAAGTAAAGCGATCGCGTAATCAACCTAACTATAGGGCAAAACCATGACTAAAGATAAAGGAGTCAATGTTTCTAGAAATATTTTTCCTTATAAAACTCCCAATTTGACTCAAATTACACGGAGAAATTAAAAAATAAAGTTCCAATTTTGTCTCCATACAACGATGTGTTTTTGTATTTACAATGTCACCATCGCAGGTCTAGAGCAGGTTTCAACTCGTGGCGGTGCATTTGCATCCAACAACGACCCACGATTCAGATAGTTTATAAAATTGGAAAGGACCAGATTTGATGTGTATGTGCTTCAGGGGTCGTTTATTTCTTGGGATGATTGCACCGATGGTCTTGAACGTTTCATCCGATCTGCAATCGGATCCTAAATATTTGAAGTAGTGTAATCAAATTTTGAACGATTTCCATTGGGTTCGATTAAGTACTTTCAGCAAACTCATGGCCAAATTTGGCGCATATTAAAAATAAATGCTGCGATACCCTGTTCAGGTGGACAAGACGCATAGATTTTCTCATGATATTTTAGTAGATCATAATATAAATATGCTAAAGATGTTCACCGACCGTGTTGTGTAATGCTTAAGTTCTTTGAAACTTCTATCTCCACCTGCAACGCAGATTGATGCATGCGGGAACTTCGTTGACTTTTCTTGTCCAGGGAGAAGATACATACCTGCACCAGATGATTCAAATGGTGACGATGGTACCTTTGTGCTTTGTTCTGATCTTTGAAATACAATAGCAATCAATTGTCACATCAAATGGAGAGATGACATAGGGAAGTCATAGGCTTTAGTTGGATTATGGACCAATGATCAAGCCACTCTTCTTGAAGTTGTCAATAGTATCCCTTTTTCTAGCTGATTTGAAGTAGGCTAATCTCGAAATCTTAGTATTTTTCTCCTCTGAAGACAGCATCACTCGAACATGTTATACATGTTCTCCGTCTTCAGGAATGGGACGACCCACCTATTTCGAAAGGTATTACTTATCACGAGAGTATATATATATCAATATGTGCCGGCTCAAGACAAAGAGAGAGACCATTCCATAGGATATCGTTCTTTATTTAGGGGTATTGCATGCCATGATAATATAAATGTTACTAATGTCGTCAAAAGATGATTTCACTCACCAAACCAAATAGAAAACATTAAAAGACCCACCAAATCGAAGGCAAGTGTTTTCTTAGTCCGAGCACTGAAGAGACATCCCACCTAACTTCAAATCCTCCGACTACATAAGCAAGCACAACTGCAACACATATTGCTCAATACACATAAACAAACTTCGACCACATCGTCAGTTTGCAAGCACAACACACAGGTTCAGGCATCTGGGGCGACCTGAGACACACACATAGCTTCGACACGGCACCGAGCTTAGCAGGATGGCTGAGGCTAGAGCGATGACCAGCTGGGCGGGTCGTGTTCTTGTGATCATGGTGGTGGAAATATGCGTGATGTTGAGGAGCACGGAGGCGGTGTCGTACACGGTGGGAGGCTCCGCTGGCTGGAGCACTCCGGGGAACGGGGCCTCCTTCTACTCTAGCTGGGCGAGCAGCTACGCCTTCCATGTCAACGACGTTTTAGGTATAATCACCGATTCTTCGACTTTCATCGATCATGTCCGCCGGCAAAAACTGTTCATAGAACATTTGACATGATGATATCCTTCGAATTACACGGACTATGATTAACTTGAGTACTGTCAGCTCTAGTCATTAACTTACCTGCATCTCACAGGGACAGAAACTGACGAACTAGTATGATATGTGTGGACTATAGTCAACCCACTTGAGTGTTCTTAATGTGGCTTTTGCCCCTAGAATTCCTTGCACACCTTGATTTGCCAAGAAGTTTAAAGGTGCTTGACACTCAAACTTGTTGAAGAATTTTTTAATATTAATTTTGTCCACATTGGGCACCCTTAATCTATTTAAGGCCCAATTGATTTAGAATCAAATACACCAAACTACGCTTCAGAAAGCGTGAGTTAGGTTATCGGCAAAAAAAACTTTCCTAAAATGATCTCTAAGACTTCTTATTCTGATAATTTACTCGATTGTTGGAATACGAAAAGACTGTCGTGATTCAATGAGATTGATCGAGTGCTCTAAGGGACTTGGACACCTCGCATCCTAAAAAAAAAAACTACGAAATGCAAATACGTCATGCATGATTTTTTTATGATGGACAAAAAATGAGACCAATTTTTGAACCGTTTATATTGCTTAGTCTTTATAAGTCAACACGAGAAATGTCCATCAGCTCCCCTAAATTGGTCCCATACCCAAACTTGAAAGGACAAATTCAATTGACTTTGCAGTCTTCAACTTCATCACCGGCCAACACAGCGTCGCCTTCGTCTCGGAGTCGGACTTCAACAGTTGCAACACTGCTTCTCCGATTGCTCTCTACACTACCTCGCCGGAGGACTACACCCTCAACACCACCGGGACCGTCTACTTCATATGCACCCACGACTCTCATTGCTCGCAGGGCCAGAAGCTGGCCATCACAGTCGGCACGGCTTCCGGCCCCACCACCAACTCGCCTCCGCCGCCCCCGCCGCCTCCGGGCAAGTCTGGCACGGGTTATCTGTACGTCTCGGGCCATGTGGTGCTCGCTTCTATGGCCATGTATTTTCTCGTAATGTAGCTGGAGCGTCAGGGTGAATTAACTAGGACTTCTATTTGTGCGAATAAGATTATTGTCCTATCGAGTGTCGTGACATGTACCTACTACGTTTTGTCATTTTCTCTCTTGTTGATGTGAATAAAACTTCCTTAATTTCGATGTTAACAGATGATGTCATGAGATTAATTTTCTTTTCCTTTTTCCTAAGTAAGTTAAATATGAGCTCACGGGTGATGTCATACTCAATCAGGCCCTCAAGGAACTCACCATTGGAGATTATCAAATGTTTAACTCTCTAAAATTATATCAAATAATGATCGCATGACTACTCCATTGCTTATTGGACTCGGTCTGCTATTGACGGTATTCAACAATCTTAACAAGAAGCGAAAGTAAAAACGCTAGGAATCAACATTTCCTAGGGCAGGGAAAATGAGGCAATGATAGAGAGGTGAGATGCATATACAAAATTGATTTTAAAAAAAAAAGAACTGCTGCCTTTTGCCGCAATTTTGGCCAAACTTTGCAAAAGAAAAATCATATTTTCCTTGATACTCGATAGGAGTTTGCTCTTATTGTGCCGTCGTTTGCAAGTGATGTCTATAACTTATATTTAGGATAAAGAGCCCGTCTAAGATAACGGTTCGGTCATTCTTAGAGATAACGGTATGGACCACAAGTTCTCCTTGGTAAGTAACTTGCAACCGGCAAGTTCATAAAGGTGCAGAGTTGACCATTGAGAAGTAGATTTAGCATATATTTTAGGGAAAATGACATAAATGGTCCTTCAACTTTGTCCTAATATGCAATGTGATCCATGAACTTTTAATTTGTTTAATGTGATCTTTGAACTTTAACCCAATATGCAATGCCATCCTTGAACTTTTAATTTATTCAATGTGATCTCTGAACTTTTGGTACATGTTTAATTTAATCCCCAAACTATATGAAAATGTTCAATGTAACCACATTGCATATTGAGATAAAATTTAGGGATCATTTATGTCATTATCTTTATATTCTATTCAAGAAAGGAGCAAAGGATGGCCCATCAATTACTCGGAAAAAAGTGAAACAAACTTTTGACTATATTTGATCCCAAAACTTTGATTAGGACATGATAAAATAAGTTAGCATAAAAAAATGTAAGGAGTTGTCATAATCTATTTTTTATTTGGAAAAACAACAAATGTCATGTCGGATATAGTCAAATAAAATAAAAAATAATTTAATAGCATAAAAAGAGTAAAAAACCGGAAGAGGGAATCGTGGGTGGCTGACCACCACCGTTGCGGTGGTTAGCTCAATGGCAGTAATCGCCTATCCGCGGCAACCACCGTGGTGGTAGTTGCATTTTTCGGGACGATTGCCTTAGACCACAGTTGTTAGTATAATCTCGAATTGCTTTAATTCATGTATATACAGTACGTTATAATAATACATTTAAGCGATATTGGATTATACTAACACTCCCCTCGCGTGTAATCTCTTCCTCACACGTGCTTGACCCAGCTTGACTATAGTGAAATGGACGCAATTCCTATTTTGGGTGAGCTAGTTGGAGTGCCAGGATCTAAACTATTGACCCATGTTCTGATACTATGTAAGAATGTTTAACCCAAAAGCTTAAACGTGGCAGAAGGATACTGCATGTAAGTACGACACAATATAACCGTGCATTTAATCGAAATGGAATTACATGAACAACCATGCCATAGACATGAGAAATTATAAAGATCTATATCTCAATCTTGATTTCGACCTGAGCTACTTGTCATCGGTAATCACCATTTGTGGTGGCCATTTGGCAACAAGACAACCACCATTGCGATGGCCGCCTATCAAGGACGACCACCATGACAGTGGTCTCATCCATTGTCCAGTCTATGAATCGCGCCTTTAGGATTGCTTACGGATTGGGAGAAACAAAACATCTTCAAAACTCATGGTTCCAAAAGAAATGCGGATTGAGAAAATAAAATTTACTTTTTATTGCAATTTGATACCTCAATGTTTTCTATTAAATTAAATATTTTAAATTTTCAAAATTGATATGCATACGTAAATGAATATGAAGAAGCTTAGTTACCAAATTGCACTCTAAAAAAAGTTACGTACTTGTAAAATCATTACTCTAAAAAAATATAATATACTTTCTATTTAAACAATAAATAACCTCTATAATTATCTCTACACACGTATACAATACATACATTTTTTTGGTAGAAATACAATACATACATTTGAACAAGAAATTTCCAATTACGATTATAAGCATAGAGATAATCGAGAATATTGTGATCAGAAGCAACAGTGTCAAAGAAAAAACAAATAAATAGGAAATGAAACCGCTTAAGTGAGTCAACCGATTTCCCTCGAAAAATGAGAGGTGCAAGAAGGACAGTCACTATGAAAAATGATGGCACCATCCGCCTCTCATGTCCCTGGAAAACTATAAAAAAAAAATCATAACTTTATTGCGCTCGTGCTAATTCAGCCTTAAATATTTTAATTTGGCCAATTTAGTCCTAAATCTTTCATTCCGCCCGTGGCCGACTCTTGCCTGTGGCCGGAGACCTTGCCAGCCCAAGGTTTGAAAACGAAAAGGAAAGAAAAAACAAAAAAACGAAAAGAAAAAGGAAAAAGGAAAAAAAATCATAAAAAAATTGTCCACTTTAGCACTGCCGTGCCACGTAGGACCGCTGGCATTAACTATTTCTAGCCAATTTTGGCTAGAATAACTAAATTTGCAAATCGTTAAAATGTTTAGAACTAAATTGGTACAATCGAAAGGTTTATGACTGAATTGGCAAATTGTAAAAGTGTTTATGACTAAACTAACAAAATTAAAAGGTTTATGACTGAATTGGTATAAGTACAATAGGTTTATGACTTTTGTGGTAATTTTCCTCTTGTATTTAAATGCATCATTGAAGAAAGTTTCCTCCAATGGAGGAAAATATAACTATAAAAGAAATCATAAATCTTTACTATTTGACCCAAACTTGGCTCACCGTGCCTTCATTTCGATAAGAAATAAAAAGTCGGGGTCATGATTGGCACATTTCAATATGTTTCGTACCAATGTTATCTCAAAACCAAAAGTTGGTGATTTCTTTTTTACATCAAAGCCTAAAAGCTATCTTTTCTTGCTTGTTAATATCATGTCAATCTCATAGCATAGACCAGTGAAAAGGAAAGCGGACGTGAAAGGAGATGAGAAAATTATCAAAAAAAAGTCTTAAATCAATTGAATTTGTGCCAATTCAGTCCTAATTTTTTTTTAATTTGACCAATTTAGTCCGAAACTTTTCATATTGGCTGGAAATCGCCAACGTGGACGCCGGTCGTCTTACGCGGCACGGCCAACGCCTATATAGATAATTTTTATAATTTTCTTTACCTTTTTTTTTCTTTGTTGCCGGGGCCCTTACCGGCTGCGAAGAAAATAGCAATGTGACTTTATGTTGTCCAACCACCATTTCGCTCACCTAACCCTAGTGAAAATATTCCAAGATTGACCAAATCAAAGCGCGAGTTGTCAACATCCGACCATGGAAGAGACTTTTCATTCTACTAACTTCAAGCCCTCCGACTATATAAGCGAGCGTTAGCTGCAGCACAACATGCCCATAATAACATAAACACGCTTCCGACCGCATCGTTGGTTTGCAAGAGCAACGACAGGTTTTAGGTGGGGCCACCTGAGATATACACACAGCTTCATGGCCAAGGCGAGAGCGCCGACCAGCCCGGCGGGCCGGGTTCTCCCGGTGATGGCGGTGGTACTATGGTTGATGCTGAGGAGTGCGGAGGCGGCGACGTACATAGTGGGAGACGCCACCGGCTGGAGCAATGTGGCGAATGCGGCCACCTTCTACTCTAACTGGGCGAGTGGCCAGACCTTCCAGGTCGATGACATTTTAGGTATAATCCCCGTCCCCGATTGCCACTTCGTCGGCTTTCATCGATTGCGCCCGCCGGCGATAGAAAGTTTGTGTATCTAGGGGTAGTGTTCCCACTACATGCCAGAACCGTTCATGGAACATTTGACATGATCATATCCTTTTGATTAGTAAGGGCTATGATTGACTTTACTAACATCATTTCTGACCATTACATCTTATGTGCATCTGACAACGACGAAAAATGATCAACTAGCAAGATAGATGGACTGTAGTCAATTCACTTAAGTGTTCTTAATGTGTGTTTTTGGCCCTTTGAATTCTCTGTGCACTCGATCATCAGCCAACACAACTTTCTTAGGATCATCTTCAGGGATCTCTTATTTTAATATTTAATTCGATTGCTATAAGAGGAGAAGACTGTAATTATTTGACGAGATTAATCGAGTGCTCTAAAAGGTTTAGACGCCTCGTATCACGATGGACAAAAAATAATACCAATTTTTTGACCGTTTATATAGCTTAGTTTTATAAGTCAACGCGAGAAATGTTCATCAGCTTCTCTAAATTGCTCCAGAAAAAGTGGCATTAGATTGACATGTACAGTTATTCGACATATATATATATATATATATATATATATATATGATAGTATTCATGTGTGTATATATTATGTATGTGATTTTAATCGGATAAATTCAATTGCCTTTTCAGTCTTTAACTTCATCTCCGGTCAGCACGACGTCGCCGTTGTCTCGGAGTCGAGCTTCACAAGCTGCACCACCAGTTCTCCAATCAGCCTCCACACTACTCCGCCGGTGAACTACACCCTCAACGCCACCGGGGCTGTCTACTTCATATGCACCCACGACTCTCATTGTTCACAGGGCCAAAAGCTGTCTGTCGCGGTTGGCACGGCTTCTGGCCCCACCACCAGCCCCAGCCCGGCCGGCACCACCACCCCGTCTCCACCTCCGCCGCCCCCACCTCCGTCCAATTCCGGCACTCGTTTTATGTTTGCCTCATGCCGTGTCATGTTCATTTCCATGGCCATTTGTCTTCTTATGATGTGGTAGGCGCGCTAGTGTTGATTGACTAGGTCCACTACTCGTGCGAATAAAACTATTGTTGCAGTATACCTGTGTTTTGTCATTCTCTTTCTTGTCTATGAGAATAAAACTTGCCTAATTTCGATGTTACCATATGATGTCACGAGATTAATTCTCTTTCTCCTCTTCTTTTTCCCAAAGTATAAAATTATGAGCTCACGGGTGACATCATTCCCAATCAGATCCAATGGTATTGCGTTTACCAACTTAGCCACCCCTATTGGAGATTATTACAATTTAATATACAAGTTGTAAGGAAAATGTCAAAAAAGGATCACAGGATTACCTCATTACCGATTGGGACTTGGTCTGCTATTCACTGTATTCAGCAGGCTTAAAGAGAAGTCAAGTCAAAACCATAGGAGTCAACATGTTCTAGAGCAGGGAAAATAAGGCAATGATAGAGAGGTGAGATGCATATACAAAATGGATTTATGAAATATTCGCTTAATGAACTAATTTTCTATGACAACTTATTACTTCCAGCATTAATAAAACGTGTTTCAATGAATCGATCATATACAGAAAAGCAGGCTAACTCTCGCCACATCCATCGCCAAAAAAGTAAAAAAAAAAAAAACAAATGTGCTGCCACTACCGCAATTTTGGCCGAACTTCGAAACATATAAAAATAAATAATGATATTTTTCAAAGGAAATTTGCTCTTATCATTATGCCGTTGCATATGAGTGATGTCTATAACTTGTAATCCATCAATTAAAAGTATGACTGGGGAAAGTTTCCTCCAATCAGGTATGGAGAAAAATATAGCGTTAAAAGAAATCATAAATCTCTCCAATTTCAATATATTTCAGGCCGACGTTATCTTAGGACCAAAGGTTTGTGGTATAGTTTTTTGGGACATTAAGGCCTAAAAGATCCCTTCTTGCTTCGTTTGCCTTTTCTTTCCCTTGGCGAGTGGGAAATATTATCATTGTCAATGTCATGGCACAGATAAGATAAAAGGAAAGTGGAGGTAAAAGGACAAAGAATAAACTTATATGATAAGAGTCTATCAAATCTACATATGACACTCACCATTCAAATGACTGAGAGATACGTATAATAGGATGACGGTGGATGTATATATAATTCTTTTTACTCGATAATTAACCGGATATAAAGAACGTATGAGTCTAGCACGCCTCGTTCTGCTCGAATAAAATTTGTAAATAATAACAGCTCTACAATTCTGAAAGTCCGAGTACACTTTTGGACAGGGGTTGATTGGTTCGAGGTGGTTCAATTTGTGGCCTAAAATCGAGAACCAACTTTGTGACATTTGGTTCCAAAAGATTGGAATCAGGAACCGAACTGGTCGATTTTGAAAATGCCAGTTCCAATCTAATCTTGATTATACTCGAGAGCCGGCCCATTTTATGTTTTGGGCCAAATTCTCGTAGTAAAATACAAAGACTGTCATCATTCAATTAAAAGACATTTGTTGGTCCAGCGGCTACGTTGTTATTTTTCATGTTGGATACCAATTGTTTAATTCTTGATGGGTGTAAAAGTTTTTCCTTCAAAACCGGCTGTTCCGACGTCTGAATCGGGAACCAGAAAGGGTCCCGAGCCTGTTTTAGGTTCGCGAAATCAAGAACTGGACCGGTTCTCCAAACGACAAGCCTTCACCGGTCGGTCCAGGCCGATTTGATCCGATTCTCAGGTCAAACCGGACCCCGGGCTCATACTTACTTTTGGATATATTCCATGTGCTAAATCAAAGAGAAGGCGAAAAACTTTAGCAGTATATTAGGGCCGGTGCCTGACGCTAACATCATACAACCAGGCCCCATTTATAAAAAATAAAACTAAAAAATACTCTTCCGACCTAAATTTCTTGTTTTATTTTTTATTTTTCTTCCAGATAAACAATTTTTGCCCACATTTTGCCCGAAACCTGGATTAAAATTAATTTCTTCAAATTTTGTCACCGTCGCTGGCAAAAGAAATTTGGACAGCGAAAAAAAACATAAAAGAGAAAAAACTAGTCGTCTGTCCTCTCGTCTCTCTCCTCCTCCACCGCTCTTTAGCTCTGGCGACCCCTCCGACCGCCGGACCGCCGACGAGGAGCCAACGCCGCCCCTCCACACCGACCAGCCTTCTCGATCCAGCTTCTCTGTTACTTCCGTACTTCTTGAGCTTTGCGTATCGGTGGTTAGTTTTGCCTCCATAAAGCCGCGATCGTGTCCATGCCCCTCACCGTCACATCCCCCACGTTCTTGGTTTATTCATTGTAAATCTCTCTTCTTTTCGTCTGCTCCTTATTCCGGATTTAGGGCCCGTTTGGTTTAACTTTTCAAATGCTATTTGGGAAAATGCAAATAACTTTAGATAAAAACTCATTGAGAAAATGCAAGTGACGTTTGACAAAAATTCATTTGTAAAGCTACTTTGGGCCAAGTAGTGTTTGGCAAATTTTTTTTTTGCAAAAGGGTTTTAGGAATTATCTTTTTTATTTAAAAAAACAAACCTACCCTACCCTTCGCCGAAGTCGGCGAAGGCCTACAGCCGCCGGCGAGCTAGATTTGGTGCCGGCAACCATTGCCCGAGGTCGGGTGACCCCAGTGAGCTAGATCTACCACCGCCGGCCGTTGCCCGAGGCCGACTTGGTGAGGTCGCGCGACCCAGAGGTCGTGGTCACTTGACCGTGCAAGGCGACCGAGTTGCGCGACCCTTGCGGCTCGCGAGGTCAAGCCCGGCCGCCGAGGTCAAATGGCCTAGGCGGCAAACGACCTCGTACGACCCAGGCCGGCGGCGCCTGGGCGGCCGTGTGACCTCAGGCGGCCGTCGCCTGGGTCGTGCAACCTCGCTAGCCTCTCGCCGGCCCAATCCGGTGTCGGCCACCCTCGCCGACCTCCCTTGTTGGTCGCCTCACGAAGAAGATGAACAGTAACAAGAGGGGCAAACTCGGAATAAGTCAAAATAAGTGAGGGTGCAGCCAAGCCGGCCCGAACACGTGTTTCGGGCTAGATTTGGCCAAAAAATGTTAGGGTTCAACATTTAAGGCGCTGGCCGAAAACCCCTTCCCAAAACTGAACCAAACGGCCCTTAAGAAGAAGCGAATGAATATAATCAATAGAATCATATGACGGTAGTTCAAGATTATTCACTTGGTACAATTATGTGGTGGCAGCTCACAAAGACGACTCCTCGCCATCATCAGAATCTGGGAACGTGAAACATTTGTATGCCTTGCACTTTGAACGCAAGACGAATCCAATCTGCAGGAAAATGATAGTGCAGAAACACTCAGAATTCTCAGAGGTATTTCACATATCATTCGGACATTTGCGAAACCTATCCTGTGACGTTCGATCACAAAAGAAAATATAATGTTTTCCTCGATACTCGATAGGAGTTTGCTCTTATGTTTCATGCTTTTGTAAGGTCAATACCACGTATGAGAGAGAAAATAATGAAGAAAAGTCATGTCAGTATTCTTCATTAGCCATGTTAGACGGAATTGATTGAAGGACTCGATTGTATCAATTTGTAAAGTTTTAGGACTCAATCATATTTTTCTTACAAGTTTTGAGACTTTAAGTACACTTATCATTTATGATTCAAATGAACAAAAGATGCCTAACGCTAACATAAGGCCCATCTATCTACAATGACTATTTTGACCTCAATTTCCCATTTTATTTTCTGGTGAAAGAAATTTGCACTGGAAAAAACACAACAACTGCTCGTCTACCCTCTTGTCACTCTCCTCCTCCGCTCTTCAACAAGAGGGGCCGATCCGCCTACTTCAGAAGGTTTTTACTTATAACGAGGGTATTTATATAAATTTACCGCGGTTTCAAGACAAAGAGAGAGAGACCATTCTCTTGAATATCTTTTTTTTTTTTTTATCTTACGGTTATTGCATGCAATGAAAATATAAATTTGACTTTATGTTGTCCAACCATCATTTCGCTCACCTAATCCTAATGAAAATATTCGGAGATAGACCAAATCAGAGCGAGTGTTTCCAACATCCGACGACTGAAGAGACTTTTTCAGCTAACTTCAAGCCCACCAACTACATAAGCGAGCACAGCTGCAGCACAATATGCACATACAGACAGAAACACGCTTCCGACCGCATCCTTGGTTTGCAAGAGCAACGACAGGTTTTAGGCGGGGCGACCTGAGATATACGCACAGCTTCATGGCCAAGGCGAGAGCGCCGACCAGCTCGGCGGGCCGGGTTCTCGCGGTGATGGCGGTGGTACTATGCATGATGCTGAGGAGTGTGGAGGCGGCGACGTACATAGTGGGAGATGCCACGGGCTGGAGCAATGCGGTGAACGGGGCCTCCTTCTACTCTACCTGGGCGAGCAGCAAGACCTTCCAGGTCGATGACGTTTTAGGTATAATCCCTGTCCCCGATCGTCATGTCGTCGACTTTCGTCGATTGCGCCCGCCAGCAATAGAAAGTTTGTGTATTTAGGGTTAGTGTTCCCACTAAATGCCAGAACCGTTCATAGAACATTTGACATGATCACATCCTTTGATTAATAAGGACTATGATTGACCTTAACAATATCATTTCTGGTCATTACATCTTATTTGCATCTGACAAAGACGAAAAATGACGAACTAGCAAGATATATGGACTATAGTCAACCCACTTAAGTGTTCTTAATGTGTGTTCTTTTGCTCCATGAATTCTCTGCACACTTGATTATCAGCCAATACAACTTTCTTACCAATTATCTTCAGGGGCCTATTATTATCTTAATATTTAATTTGATTGCTATAAGACGAGAACACTGTAGTGATTCGATGAGATTAATTGAATGCTCTAAGAGGCTCAGACGCTTCGTAACATCAGAAAAAATAATGACAAAAGGCAATCACATTAGGCATTATTTTTGGATGATGGTGAAAAATAAGACCAATTTTTTGACCCTTTTTTATAGGTTAGCTTTGTAAGTCAACGCGAGAAATGTTAATCAGCTCCTCTAAATTGCTGCAGAAAAAGTGGCCTGAGATGGAAATGTCTACACTATACATAGTGATATATAAATAATAGTGTGCACATATATATATATTACGTACGTGATTTAAATGTGAATGGATAAATTGAATTGCCTTTGCAGTCTTCAACTTCATCTCTGGCAAGCACGACGTCTCCGTCGTCTCGAAGTCGGACTTCACAAGCTGCAACACTAGTTCTGCAATCACTTTCCACACTACTCCGCCGGTGAACTTCACCCTCACCACCACCGGGGCCCTCTACTTCACATGCACCCACGACTCTCATTGTTCACAGGGCCAAAAGCTGTCTGTCATGGTCGGCACGGCTTCCGGCCCTCCCGGCACCAGTACTCCGTCCAATTCCGGCACGGATTTTGTGTATGCCTCATGCCGTTTCATGTTCACTTCTATGGCCATTTATTTTATTACGATGTGGTAGGTGTAGGGTTCGACGTAGGGTTAGATGTGCTAGTGTTGATTGACTAGGTCCACTACTCGTGCAAATAAGACTATTGTCGTGGTATACCGATGTTTTGTCATTCTCTCTCTTGTCGGTGAGAATAAAACTTGCGTCATTTCGATGTTATCATATGATGTCACGAGATTAATTCTCTGTCTTCTTCCTTTTTTCTAAGTATAAAATTATGAGCTCATGGGTGAGAGAAAAGTGTCAAAAAGTCCTAAACCTTTTGCATCGGTGCCAATTTAGTCCTAAACCTTTTTTTGGTGTCAATTCAGTCCTAAATCTTTTGCATTTGTGCCAATTCAGTCCTAAACCTTTTGCATTGCCAATTCAGTCTTGAACCTTTTTTTTTTGTGCCAATTCAGTCCTAAACTTTTTGCATTAGTGCCAATGTAGTCCTAAACTTTTTGCATTAGTGCCAATTCAGTCCTTCCGGCTAATAGCTATTCATATGTCGAAGGACTGAATTGGCACAAATATAAAAGGTTTAGGACTGAATTAGCACCAATGCAAAAGGTTTATGACTGAATTAGCACCAAAAAAAGGTTTAGGACTAAATTGGTACAAATGCAAAATGTTTAGGACTCAATTGGCACAAATGCAAAAGGTTTAGGACTGAATTGATACAAAAAAAGATTTAGGACTCAATTGGCATCAATGCAAAAGGTTTAAGATTTTTTTGACACTTTTCCTGATGTCATGCTCAATCAGATGCAATGGTATTGCGTTTACCAACTTAGCCACCCCCTATTGGAGATTATTGCAATTTAATATTCAAGTTCTAATGAAAATGTCAAAAAAGGATCGCATGATTACCTCATTACTAATTGGACTTGGTCTGCTATTCACTGTTTCAGCATCCTTAAAGAGGAGCAAAGTCAAAACCCTGGGATTCAAACATGTTCTAGTGCAAGTAAAATAGGGCAGTTGAGAAAAATGCGGAAGAGGGGAATCGGAGAAATTTATATTTCGATATGTATAGAAATGAGTACATAAATTTATATATATGCTTTATTAAATGACTGCCTATGAAAATTAAATTGGATATACATAATTAAAAGAGAGATGAAAAATCAAAGGAATTATTGGAAATATCTAAATATCTATCACAAAGGCGGTGATAGAGAGCTAAGATGCATATACAAAAATGGATTTATGAAATATTCGCTTTATCAACTAATTTCTATGCCAACTTAGTACTTCCAGCATTAATAAAACATGTTCCAATGAATTGATCATTTACAAAAAGTAGGCTAACTCTCTCCCCACACCCATCGCCCAAAAAGTTCAATAAAAAAATAGGCTGCCACTATAGCAATTTTGGCCCAACTTCGAAACACACACACATATATAATATTTTTTTAAAGGAAACTTTTTATTATCATGTCATTACATGCGAGTGATGTCTATAACTTATAATCCATCAATTAGAAGCATGGTTGGATATTCCTCCAATCAGGAATGGAGGAAAATATAACTCTGAAAGTTATCATAAATCTCTCCAATTTCAATATATTTCGAGCCAACGTTGTCTTGGGACCAAAAGTTTGTGGTATAGTATTTTTGGGACATTAAGGCCTAAAAGATCCCTTCTTGCTTCATTTGCCCTTTCTTTCCCTTGGCAAGCGAGAAATATTGTCATTGTCAGCGTCACGGCATAGCTAAGAGAAAAGGAAAGTGGAGGTAAAAGGGCAAAGAACAAACTTGACATGGATGCACCCAAAAATTGATACCCCCAAATAATTACAAGTACTTAAATAATATCTAGACCATCTGATATAGTAGAGTCTATCAAATTTACATACGATGCTCACCGGACACGATTCAAATGAATGAGGGATACGTATTATAGGATGGTGGATGAATATGTGATTCTTTTTACTCAATAATGATATAAAGCTTAAAGAACTCGTGAGACTAGCACATCTGGACGTGCTTGAATAAAATTGTAAATAAGAATGGCTTTGCGATTATGAAAATTCGAGCATACTTTTGTATAGGGGTGATCGGTTTAGGGGTAATTCAACTCGTGACCTAGAACTAAGAACCAACCCTTTGACCTTTAGTTACAAAAAGATTAGAACTAGGAATCGAACCAGTCGATTTTGGAAATGCCGGTTCCGATTCGATTCAAGGTTATAACCGAGAACCGGTCTATTTTACGTCGTTGTTTTTTCATGTTGAATACCATGGTTCAATTCTTGATGGTGCAAAAAAAATTTCTTTCCTAAAAGGTAGGGGTGATCGGTTCTAGGGTGAGTTGGGTCCAGACCTGGAACCTGAAACCAACCCTATTATAATCGGTTCCCAATTTTTGAAACCTGAAACCAACCCTATTTTCCCTGGACCCTGTTTGGAACCAACCCTGTTTTTCCAGTCTGGTTTCAGGGTCTATCCGAGAACCTATTTTTTTTTAGTTCCTTTTCCGGTTTCATTTTTTTCCAGCAAAATAATATAGGTAGTAATGAAACGATTTAAAGTAAAAGATGAATAACAAAAATCACTATCCGCCAAAAGTAACAATCCCCAAAATGAGCAATTGAAATTACAATCCATCAAAATCAACAATCCAAAAGCACTATGCGGCAAGACATAGTCCAATCGCATAAATCTTTAAGAGTCACATTTCTATGGAATCTGTTCAACATGTTTAGCTTTTTATTGTGCGCCATGATGAGAGAACTCCTCACTTCTGTTTCCGAATGAAATATCTTGAAAGGAAAATCAAGAGACTTAGTAGTAAAGTGCTCTCACTAGAGAAATGTCTATATATCTCATCCGAATCACACAATATTTAGATGACTTTAAGGACCGTGCTGTTTCGCTCATAGTTGTGAAACAGATCCCAATATTAAACCGGAAACCGGTTCTAAAACCAGTGAAGTAGGGTAACGTGATCTAGGGTTTTTACTTTTTTTTATTATTTCAAAACCGGTTTTAAAACCGGTTCGGGTTGGTTTTTACTTGAAACCGAAAACCGGACCGGTTCTAACCAGTTTCCAAAAAATGGAACCGGTTCCCGGACCTATTTTTCGGGTGGGCCGGTCCGGTTGCACACCCCTACTAAAAGGGATTTCAAAACCATTTTAGAACTGATTCCTGGTAAAACTAACGGTTCTAGCCTCTTAACCGGAGACCAAAAAGTCCCGAGCCGGTTATGGGTTCAAGAAATCGAGAACTGAACCGGTTCTCCAAACAACCGGCTTGGTGTCGGTCGGTCGGTCCAGGCTGATTTGGTCCGATTATCAGGCTAAACCGGACTCGATGCTCACCCCTACCTTTGGATATACCACGCCAGTGCCTAACGCTAGCATCGTACGACCAGGCCCATCTAAACATAAAAAGGAAAAAACTAATCGTCTGTCGTCTCGTCTCTCTCCTCCTCCACCGCTCTTTAGCTCCGGCGACCACTCCGACCGCCGGACCGCCGACGAGGAGCCGACGCTGCCCCTCCACACCGACCAGCCTTCTCGATCCAGCTGCTCTGTTACTTTCGTACTTCTTGGGGTTTGCGTATTGATGGTTAGTTTTGCCTCTATAAAGCTGTGATCGTGTTCAAGTCCCTCACTGTCGCATCCCCCCGTTCTTGGTTATTCACTGTAAATCTCTCTTCTTTTCATCTGCTCCTTATTCCGGGTTTTTCATTTTCGATCCTCATTGTTGTTGTTTTTTCTCTGTTGCTGCTTTTCTAAGGCTATGTTTGGTGTTGCGGATGCTTGAAAGTAATTTTGAGTCTCTTCAGTGTAGTGCATTCTGGTTGCGCTAGCGTTATTTGAAGTTGGGGGAGGAAGAATACGAAAGGAGACATTGAACGATTCAGACCCTTTTGTAGGAATTGAATTCGAAAGCCAAAGGAGCAGGCCCCCAATGAGAAACAGTTGATAAAATACGCAAAAGCACTTGGGCTAGCTGTTTCTGAGCTCCATTGTCGATGATAAGCAAGAATTTGTGTTAAAGGGGGGAAATTTAGGACTGGGGGGTTATGCTCTTGGTGTGAAATAGAATGAACTGGGGCTCCGCCTTTGTGTTCTGCTGCTTCTGGTTGTTGGTGAAAGTTGATGCGTCGTCTCGCCACCGGCTCCCTCATGATCCCTGCGACCTCAGCTTCCAGAGGAGGCCGGAATCGTTGAGATCGGACCAGATGACGGTCCTGATCAACGGCTACTCCGAGTCCCGCATTCCCCTCCTCCTCTCCATTGCCGCCTCCTACTCTGCATCACCTGTCGTGGCAGCGGTGCTTGTCTTGTGGGGGAACCTGCGTACTCCACCTTGGCTCCTCTCCGAGCTCTCCCGCAACCTGTCGGCCGCTTCTCTTGGCACCGCTCAGATCTCTCTGGTCCCACAATCCTCGAGCAGCCTCAATGCCAGGTTCCTTCCTCGGCCGCTCGCGATCGAGACACGGGCCGTGCTGATATGTGACGACGACGTGGAGGTGGATGCCAAGTCTGTGGAGTTCGCGTTCAGGGTGTGGGGGTCGAACCCGGACCGTATAGTGGGGATGTTTGGGAGGTCCCACGACATGGACCTGGTCAGGAAGCAGTGGATCTACACGGTGCACCCAGACAGATATTCAATAGTCCTCACCAAGTTCATGCTGCTGAAGACCCAGTACCTGTTCAGCTACAGCTGTGGCAGTGGGCCGGTGGGGGCGAGGATGAGGAAAGTGGTGGACGAGATGGCTAACTGTGAGGACATACTCATGAACTTTGTGGTGGCCGATGAGATCAATGCAGGTCCTGTCCTGGTTGGGGCAGAGAGGGTCAGGGATTACGGGGATGCAAGGAACGAAGGAGGCAGCAGCGAGAAAAGGGATGAGGTGAGAGATGCAGGGCTAAGCAGAAGGAGGGGAGAGCACAGGAAGAGGCGAGGGCACTGCATAAGAGAGTTCCACAAGGCGATGGGGAGGATGCCATTGAGGTACTCCCATGGCAAGATGGTAAACTCGGTCGGAGAGCAAGGGCTGTGCATCAAAGGTGGCAAGCTTGTCTTCTGTGATCAATTCCTCAGTTGAAGATGACCATGTAACCTCCTACCTATCCCTCATTGTTCTTTGGAATGATGTTTTCTCTTTGTAGTTGTATGATTAAGGAGAAAAAAATTGGGTAATAGAGCAGGGTTCATTAGGATTATATTGTTCAAACCCAGCTTCTCCATATGAAACAGTTGAAGAGCTGAACATTCATATAATCAATGTACTTAAAAGGCCACAACAATTGGAGATGCAACAAAGGAGCATGCTGAAGAACTTACTCATGAAGACTATCAACAAGTGCATGCTAACTAATAAGGCCAACTGGTAGAGAGTAAAAAAGAGGGTCCTGCATTGGCTTGAGCTTGAATAAAGCCAGGGAGTTATTTTGAAACTTCAAGCACTTTGCATGAAATTTAATGACACTTGTGAGCTTATCAGATACGAATTGTTAGCATCCTGGTAAAAGAAAGATGCATAGGTTCTCAATGTAGCTATGGATTCAGACAGCTCTAGTTCCGCCACGAAACCAATGGTCATTATTATAAATTTATTCGTTTGCTTTTCTTTACAATCCTTCAATAGTATAGGAAGAAAATGCCGAACCAGGCTGAATAATAATAGGCAAGTAAGTAAGCATCTCAGGCACTCCAGATGCAAGTGAGCAGTTACTTTTTGCATTACCAAAGAAAAAGGTGGCGCAACTTTAGGGTGCAGTACTTTGTAGCCGCAATTGATCTGCATCAAAAAATGAACTTCATATTGACATTATGGAATGATGGGATCATTTTTCTCAAAATCCTAGTCTCTGTACGAGTCTGGATGATATTTTTTGCTCCAAACGTGGGATTAAGCTTTCAACTTTTCATGACTACCATGCAAAGGCCTCAATCTCATCCTCTATGTAGACATCTGAAGAGCGAGTCCACTTCATGCAAGCTAATCCAGATGAAACGCTTCATTAAACTTCTTTTGCCTGACTGAATCATCACGAGGGGCGCCAGAATCATATTAATACTAGTTTAGATTGTGCTGTTCAAAATGAATGGCAGAAACACTTAGCAGTGCAGCAATAACTGAAATATGACTGAACTTTCTTACAAGGTAATCTCAACAGTTCGCCTTTCATATTCAAGACATCTTCAATCTAAAATATATAATGGAGGAACAGAAATCCCCGTATATACCTGTGAGGGAGACATTTCGTGATGGAACAAAAGAAAATGGTGATGATTGCTGCAATTTAACAACAGTGTTGACACTTTAATCTGACTCGGACTGTTGTATCTAGATCATCATCCTCTTTTTTCCTTGAAAGGTGGACCATCATAATCTTAAAAGCACGCAGGCCAAAAGAATTTATGTGACCTTAATAGTGTAGAGGACTGATACTGATAACATGTCAACGTGTATTACCATGTATTTAGCCGAAGAATAACAGAGAAAATTTTCAGGGAAATTGCCAAGATGCCCAAAGGACAGGGAAAAATTAAAATAAAGATACTATCTGTAGCTGTCAAGCTTAGCATTCCCAACTTGGGATGTATGACCAACATCATCACCCATATCCCCAGGAAGCAAAGTTGATAACAAAACGAAGAGACGCAATGAGCATACAGAACTTGCCAGTAGCAGTCTCTTCATCGATGGGGAAATAAGTCGTTGACTGATGCTGATCCTGTGACTGTTTGTTGTACGAACCATTCAACAGAACAAAATGGTTGAGACAGAAAGCAATACCAATGAAGCGACGACAATCAGCATACAAGCAGCAAAACATACAATACTGTTCTTGACTACCCATAATTAGATCAATTAGTTTTACATCAAGGATGGTTCAGACTTTGTTCATTATAATATTTTAAGCAGGTAAATTATCAGAATACCATTTCGTCAGTGGTACTACATTTATCTCACTTTCTATGATTTCCTGCAACTTTGCTTCTGCTCAACTTGCTGATTATCTTATTTTGAATGGTTTACTGGCCATTCTGAAGTCTGTTAGCAGCAATTTGGGTGAATTGTGTCGTGAATATTATTCTGTCTACTTGTGTTAGTAATTATGGTGGAAAAGTTCAGGAACTTGCAGTTTTATATCGTTGTGCCATTGACTTGTAAAGGTAGTAAGGTACATTATTTAGTCCTACTTGGATTGCCTTGCTTTATTGTCTGTCTACAAAGAAGGAGAAGATAGGAAGCTTTATAGCTTTTCTCATATAATTGTAATTGGACCCCGGATTGCTGTTTTATCTATCAACTTACTTAGATTTAACATCCAAGTTCTAATGGATGTCAAAGTGTTTGTTGTCTTGCAGAAGGCTCTGACTAGAGGAAGTGCGGCAACTGGCAAGTATATAGCCATACTTTGGATGCAGAGTAAAAGATCTTAAAAAAGTTTTACACGCTTGATTGTTATTTTTTGTGGTCTCCCGAAGTTCTCGTTTTCATCGGTGCCATTACTGCTCATCATTCAGATCTTGGCTAGTGCATTAGCTGATCCCTGAAGTGAAAAGTTCGGTCACCAGAGACTGAACAGCTCCAGCTTTATCAGTTTAATTCTTTTCACTGGTTATGATATTGAGCCAATTAACTCTGTTAATCTGATTGAGGAAGAACGGCTTTACTAAAAGGAGAGATTTATCATTGGATTTGAAGATTTAGAGGATTTCTGATGGTTCCATGAGAAATTCATTTTGCCATGTTCAATAGGTAGCTCAGCATTTGTTGTGTGGCTTGTGTTATGTTGCTGTAATGAGTTTGGATTCCCTTGAAGGGCTTGGAAACATCAAAAATCTCTCTCTCTCTCTCTCTCTCTGCTTACTAATATAAGAAACCTCTTTCTGTCTGTCTGTCTCTGCTTGAAACATGAGAAATCTCTCTCTCTCTCTCTCTCTCGTTACTAATATAAGAAACCTCTTTATATCTGTCTCTGCTTGAAATATGAGAAATCAAAACCTCCGTCTCCGTTCTCTCTCTAGCGCACATCCTGTTAACCTGAAGGAGGGGGAAAAAGATTGTTAACAGGATATTTATCATACCTCTGATCCCCTTGAAACACATGACCGATGCTGCGGTAAATTACTTGAGATTTAACTGTCTCCTTGGTTTGAAATCCTCTGCTTAAACATCCTCTAGTCTAGTTTAGGATGTGAAGAACTCATCTCCTCGAAGGTTTGCGAACAAATGAAACCCATGAGGCACGACATGCTCAAAGTTTGACTGTTCCGCAATTTGGTATACATCAGTTCCTCAAGTCAACCGAGAACTTGATGTTAGAGAGAGAGAGAGAGAGAGAGAGAGAGATTTAAGAAGAAGAGAATGAATATAATCAATAGAATCATATGGCGGCAGTTCAAGATTATTCACTCGGTACAATTATATGGCGGCAGCTCACAAAGACGACTCCTCGCCATCATCAGAATCTGGGAATGTGACACATTTGTATACCTTGCACTTCGAACACAAGACGAATCCAATCTGCAGGAAAATGATGGTGCGGAAACAGTTAGAATTCTCAGAGATATTTCACATATCATTCAGACATTTGCGGAAACAAAACAAACATAAATAATCCGCAAAAGGTCTGAAACGGGTAGTAATATTAGAAGGGGAAGTCTCTTTTTTTGAAGATGAGAACTTTAAGTAGATTTTTATACTTATATTGTGAGTGGTCCTCTCATGACTGTCAGAAAAGAATGTAAACGGATAGTGTAAACTTAGGGAAGGCTCGTAATCAGAAGAACGAAAGATTTTGATCAGAATTTCCAAAGTCACGTGTTGTTTTAGTTGTTATTCCTATCAAATCAACTCGGACATTCATGTTGGCATTGCCATTACAATAACAGAACTCCTCTACACTGTTTCTCGGGCACCACAAAGTAGTGAAACAGCTGCAATTGCTGAACTTTGAAACCTGTCCTATGATGTTTAATATTCCAGTTGGCAGAAAACTAAGTACAGCAAGCAAACTGGTGAAGGACAGGTGTAAAATCTAAATACAAGCCAAGAGAGAAACAGGTGCAAGAAATCAGCTAATCGACACTCGTTGTCTTGTCAGAAATTCTGAATTCCGAAACATTTCATACCATGCAATTCAAGCTATATCTTCAGTTTCTTGCAAAATGTTCCATGGAAAGTATTGGGATAAGATATGATGGCTTCACGATGTAGATGTGAGAAAGGTATTTATCTTGGGCAAGCTTGTGGTTTTAGACATTATCTGACACAAGAATGCCCCTGATCTAATGCTTTTAAGTACTTGGTTCGAATCTTGCACAACCATCGTGTCTAAAAACATTTAGTTTGCAGAACAGTAACAACTGAAAAAATCTCATTCATGACTAGGTACTAGTTGATATAGTGAGGATAAGCATGGAAAAGAGTATCGGGAAAGTGAAGTACAGCTCTGCAAGATGGACATCGCCGATAAATCCGCCTGTTTTCCGCTTTAACGTTGGTCTTCTGTCCCTTACAGAAATCGCAAACTAACCATCCTTTGCCATTGCAAGGTTCACAAATAATTCCTGCATCAGCCTTCAAGTAGCTAGTATATAGTTAGAGGAGAAGGAAGAATATGGGACCGCTGGTGCATTAGAAATGGAAATAGAAAGTAATTTAGATACAAATCACATTTCTATTGCATAATTCTCAATAACAGTTAAAATGGGATGAGAAAGAGTCGAACAAATTCAAGCTGATTCGAGGTTGATCTTCGAGGCGAAAACTCTATTTCTTCATGTAAAAATTTGTTGGAGGTGGAGGAAGTACCTCTTGTTGGATGTGCTGGACTGGGGTGCAGAGGGGTGGCTTCAAGAAGAAGAGAGAAGCTGGCTGCCAAGGTAAAGGTGATGGCTTCGGCCAAATATTATGCTTCATACGGACAGTGAGGAGCTGTGTGCCACTTAGTACGGTCGCCATAGCACCTTCCTCTTAAAACACGAGGACAGGAGTCTTGAATCCCAAGGACAGGAGGACAGCAGACTTTATCCAATCTCTATTAAAACACGAGGACAGGAGACTTGAACCCTGATCTCTTACTGAAAAAAGCAAATCAGCAAACGAAGTGTGACGGTGCTCCATGCTCAAATATTACTATCCACATGAGATGTTCCACAGGTCAAAAAGAAAAATACAAATCCATCTAAAAGTTGGAGTTAAATTCCAGGACAAGGAATAAGTAGCTGATGAAATAAACGAAGCCAACAATGACGTGAATATTTCCTCCCTGGTCTTTTTCTTCATTACTCAAATCAGCTATAGAAAATTATTAAGAGCTAATGAAATTGAAAGCAAGATGAACTAATTCCTACGTCAATGACAGCTTCCATTAGTAAGACAGTAATTGATATTACTGAAGTAGCTGGTGACTGGTCAGGACGGAAGAAAACCAGTTCTGATTGAGATCAGTCCTCCATTTCATGACAGTTAAATATGGAAAATAGCATTTGTTGCCATTAAGTTAGCCTATGGCTATAGTAGGTGCAACAAACAGTAACCTTAGTAAATGCAAGGTTGGCCTTCTTGAGCTCACCTGTCTTCCGTGCTTCATCCAAAAACTGAACTTGCAGCACGTAGGTACTCTTCGGCCTTTCCTACTTGATTCAGTTTGCACATGATATCTTGCAATATCCTGATTGACATATTCGGCCATGGATTGTATAAAGCACATTGTTGCCAGAAGAAAAATACCGCACCGAAAGCAAGTATCAGAAAAAGAATCAGAAACATGATATGCGGAATTTATCCTTAGTGCATTGATCAAGTAATGCAGATGTCAAGCTAACACCAGCAATGCGCTCCTTTTTCCCAAAAAAGGATTAGTCAATCATGTGGGAAACTTGATGCAACATTAGTCTGCGATGCTCTGTTTGCCCTACTCTACCTAATCAGGATATAATTTAAGCATAGCTTGTGAGGCCTGCAGCTCACATGGGCATAAATTTATCCAAATTATTTCCTTGTCATCAACAAAATAGTTATCTCGGATTGTATCGATACAGATACACCAGCATGAAGCAGGGGATAGTAGAAGCACTTGAGATCAGGGCACACAGACAAGCAAACTACATTAGCATGTGCGAAGTTTTGGATCCCATATTACAATTGCAGATGGAAAGAGTGATAATGTTTCACGATGTCCTCAAGATGTCAATGATAGAATGCATCTTTCAATCACTAGTTACTTGTAGACCGAACACCAGTGAGGGTAACTTCCAAGCACAACCATTCCTATAACCAACGACCATAATGTTGTCTTCTTATTTCATCCCAAATGACGAGAGAAATCAAAGAAACAAACAGTCACAATCTCATTGCTTTATCGGATTCAGTCACTCGGGCAACTGAACAAAGTTTATATGGAAAAATCAAGACGCATTACCTAATAAGCTAAAACAGATTTACATTAGGATATCAACCACTTAAGCTTCATCTATACTTGGAGTCCAAATCCGAGCTTGTAGTTTCACATGACAAGCACATGATACCTTTAACCCCGATTTTAAAGTTTAACAATCACAGGCCAATTTCAAGAATGGCATAAATGCACCAATCCGTGAGAGCTTCACACGGGTCAACATCAATCTTCGCACTCCATTACTTTTCTTGAAGACAACAGAGCTCAGCGTGAAAGATCAAACCCTTTTTCTTTGCAGGATGAAACCGAGGGGATGACTCCTTGTCTGTCAAGCCTCTTCTTCCTGGTCCTCCTTCACCTTCTCCAGGAACAGCTGATGCTTTGGCAAACCCATCTTTTATCTCCCCTTCCAAAGAAAGGGCAAGGCTTCTTCTCTTGCTCAACTGTTAAGAGAAGCTGCAATGGTTGAAACACTAATAAAGCCCTGAAAACAGTAGCTTTGCTTTTGCCATTTTCAAGTGGCTTTTTTTTCAGTGCGAGTGTTAGTTGGTGACAATGAAAGAGAGAGGGAGAGAAGAGCAGCAGGAGAGGAAGGGATTTGCAATGGCAGTTTTTGTGTGGGGACTGTGAGAGGATAGGGTCTGCTTTCACTCTGTTATCTTCTGATCCAGTCATTCAGTCACCGTAGAATTGGGGAGAGAGTCTTCTGTTCATTTGCATGAATGGCAGGAAATCTTTGAACTATGTGAATTGTCATGTGTACAACTTTTATAGTCCTTAGAATATGTGTAATGGCGTGATCCGATTCACATGGACCGAAAACTCATAACGATCATTCGAATTATAAACGCTAGAGACGAGTCTCCACTTATACGTCACTTCACAGTGTTCTTTCTCTCAAAAAACTTGATTGAAACTATTATAAGGACTTTTGACATATTTCATCTTTAAGTGGCAACTTGTGAAATCTTAAAATTTGTCACAAAAATATAATTTAGTTTTAAAACTTTAAAAAAATATAATTAAGTCCTAAAATTTGTCACAAAAGTGTAATTGAGTCCTAAAACTTATCAAATCGGTCCAATCAAGTCTTTCCATTAACTGCACTTTTTGAAAGTTTTAGGATTTGATTATATTTTTGTTATAAGTTTTAGGATTTTATTTTAATTTTTAAAAGTTTTAATATTAAGTTAAACTTTCGTGATAAGTTTTAAAATTTTACTTATCCCATAAATTAATAAATGGGCGCATTTACATGTGTCGTTAACTTCTCCCGTTTTCCGTCTTTTCCCTCCCACCAAACATATTCAAGCAGCAGCCAAGTGCCAGCGGTCAAGCCAACACATCACACATTCTCTTGACATCTTACCATTGCCTTGCCTCCTCTGTTTCCTCAGCTCACTCTAATTCGGCGATTCCTAACGTTGTGGGTGAGCAGCGCGCACGCTCTTTAGCTGGTGACGGTAAAGTCTTTTATCTACTTCTCCCCATGCCTCCTACGTGCTTGTGAAAATTACCCTATGGCTAAAACTTAGTGATTCACACGAAAGCTGGCAACTTAATGACTTAGAGGCAAGATGGTTTCATCCCTCTATTATCTGACGATGGAATCTGCTCGCAACTACATTACCCACGTTGGGTTGTGGGGTTTAATTTCATTGGTCTTGTTCTAGTTGTGGATGATATGCTTGAATGATAGCTGCCTCTCAAATACCATCTTTACTATTCTCTGTCCGTTGACAATTTTGGCGCGGGGGGGAATGCTCATTTAAGTGTGAAAATGGTATTGATGAGTGTTGGGCATATCATAATTCTGACAGAAGATGCAGTAGTTTTCGATTCTTTCTTCTGCTTTGAAGCTTATATATCCCATTTTCAGGAAAAAAAAACCTGTGTGACATGTGTCTCTATAGAAAGTATCACGGGGATATCCGTTGGAGTTTTGTAGATCCAACTATGTAAGCTCGATCAATGAAAGTGAGCAGAAGTGTCCTATATTTTTGGAGATGTGGACATTTCCCTTTGTCTTGAGGTAAATAATGTTTTTTTAAATCACGTGTACATCATATTATTATCTTCACTCTTTGGTTTGAATGCAGATATTCTTTGATAGTTTGTGTCGCTAATTTTATGCATGTGTACCCAGGAACAAGAAAGATTGAGATCATTTTGATGAGGAGTTGCTCGGATAAAAATGATTGGGCTTGATTATGTTAAATTTATTTCACAAAAACCTGTTAAATACTCATGTAATGCTAGAAAAAGAAAACGACTTTGCATTTTTTATTCTTTTGGTACTTATGATATCTTGGTTTCGTTTATTCCTCAGAGTGATGCGAAGACATAGAGATAAGTATCATTGCAACTCTCTTCCATATGCTGAATCTCTCTGCCCTTTATTCTCCACAAATGCTCTGCAACTCGAATCAGATTTCATTGGAGTTGAGAAGGAAGAGAGGCATTTTGATCTTTTGATCCGGTCTCACACAAAAATGGATCATGCGAAGTGTCATCATGCTCAGCTTTTAGTATCAGGGAAAGCTCAAAATAAGTTCTTCTCCACCAGACTAGTGAATCTTTATTTACATCTTGGTGATGTCTTCTTATCTCGATGCACCTTCAATTGGATTCCAAAGAAGGATGTCTTCGTATGGAACTGTATGATGTCTGCTTATGTCCGTTGTGGTTTTTTCAGTGCTGCTATAAATTGTTACCGCAAGTTTATTATATCCTCTGATCTTCGACCTGATTTCTATACTTTTCCTCCGTTGCTGAAAGCTTGTGGAAATGTATTGGAAGGAAAAAGGTTCCATTGCTCAATTATGAAGCTGGGTTTTCAATCTGACGTATTCGTTGCTGCTTCCTTGGTACACATGTATGCTCGACATGGCTACTTAGGTGTTGCTCGTCAGGTATTTGATGATATGCCATTCCGAGATACAGGCTCATGGAATGCAATGATTTCTGGGTATTGTCAGAATGGAAATGCTGCTGAAGCACTGGATATTTTGTCTGCTATGAGGTCGCAAGGAATAAAGATGGATTCTATAACTGTATGCAGTCTCCTTGCCATTTGTGCTCAGTTTGATGATGCATTGAGTGGGATATTGATTCATCTATACGTCATTAAGCATGGGTTGGAATTTGATTTATTCGTGAATAATGCTCTAATAAACATGTATGCCAAGTTCAGTAAATTGGGAGATGCCCAACAAATATTTGAGAGCATGGTGGTAAAAGATGTAGTCTCATGGAACTCAATTATTGCCGCATATGAACAGAATAATGATCCAGTTACTGCATGTTTGTTTTTTAAGGAGATGCAGTCAACTGGTTTAAAGCCTGATTTGTTGACAGTAGTTAGTTTAGCTTCAACCTTTGCTCAGGTAAATGATTCGCGAAATAGCAAGTCTCTTCACTGTTGCACTCTCAGGAGGGGTTGGCTTTTGGAGGATGTAGTACTTGGAAATGCAGTTGTGGACATGTATGCAAAATTGGGCTATGTAGATTATGCACTTCAAGTGTTTGAAGAACTCCCTGCCAAAGATGTTATTTCATGGAACACTTTAATTACAGGTTACGCTCAGAATGGTCTTGCAAGTGAAGCAATTGAAGCATACCACCTGATGGAAGAGTGTGGAGGGATAACTCCAAATGAAGGAACTTGGGTGAGTATTCTCACAGCTTGTGCTAGCGCTGGAGCTTTAAAAGAAGGCATGAGAATTCATGCACTCATTATTAGAAATGGCCTTGTAGCAGATGTCTTTGTGGGGACCTGCCTTATCGACATGTACGGGAAATGCGGGAGACTTGATGACGCGATGTCATTATTCTACAATATTCCTAGAAATACTTCAGTCCCATGGAATGCCATCATATCTTGCCATGGTCTTCATGGGCATGGTGACAAAGCTTTAAAATTATTTGAAGAAATGCAAAAAGAGGGAGTTGAGCCAGATCATATAACCTTTGTATCCTTATTGTCTGCTTGCAGCCATGCTGGTTTGGTTAATGAGGGTCAATTTAGCTTTCAGGTGATGCAGGAACAGTATAGGATTAAACCAGGTTTAAAGCATTATGGCTGCATGGTTGATTTGCTTGCTAGAGCAGGTTTGATAGAAAAGGCATATGATTTCATCCAAAACATGCCTATACGTCCTGATGCTTCCATATGGGGCGCTCTTCTTGGTGCATGTAGAATACATGAAAATGCTGAATTGGGGACCTTAGCTTCGGACCGCTTGTTTGAGGTTGATCCAGAGAATGTTGGTTATTACGTTCTATTGTCTAATATATATGCCAATGCTGGGAAATGGGATGTAATGGGCAAAGTCAGATCATTTGCTAGAGACAGGGGCTTGAGGAAAACTCCTGGTTGGAGTTCAATCGAAGTGAATAATACTTTTGAGGTCTTCTACACTGGCAACCAAACCCATCCAAAATATGAGGAGATCTATAATGAATTGAGGATTCTGACTGCAAAAATGAAAGGCCTGGGTTACATTCCTGATTATAGATTTGTGTTGCAAGATGTCGAGGATGATGAAAAGGAGGATATTCTTACAAGTCACAGTGAGCGATTGGCCATTGCATTTGGAATCATCAGCACCTTTCCTAAATCTCCACTTCGAATCTTCAAGAACCTGCGTGTTTGTGGCGATTGCCACATTGCCACAAAGCTCATATCTGTGATTACAGAGAGGGATATTATTGTGAGAGATTCAAACCGTTTCCATCACTTCAAGGATGGCATTTGTTCATGCGGAGATTACTGGTGAATTGAATTATTGTTGTTGCTATTTGGTTTGGTCAACTCTCTCGTGAATTCATGAGAATGCTTATTGGTTCCACACTATACTTGCAAAATGCCTCCTTTGCCAGTGCAGTGGTGTACATCGTGTGGAATGATATAAAGCAGAATTTCTGATTATTCCTGTGAAGGTACTTACTCCTCTTTTACAAACAGTTTTAACTTTTTTTGGTTTCAGTTAATGTGCTTCTGTTTTTTTCACTTTTTCCTTAGATGAGCCTTTTCCCCCTACAATGACATTTTTGTTGGGTATGCATGCTTAAAAATTTTAAGTTTCAGGGTTTTGATTCTAGTGGCTGTGAGAATTATGTTTGAAATGGATGTCTTGCCGGTTTGTCTTTATGTATGGAACCATTGCCAAATTATTTTTTGGTTGAAACAGTGCCAATTTAATTGATGGAAATTTTACTTTTCACTAAGAAGTAACAGAACTGTCTAAAGCTACTAGTACATCTCGTTTGTGTGCTGGATACTTTAATGTCCTTTTGGCTGATCTTTAGGATTGAAAGAATGGATCAGGTGGCATGTGCTTTAAGGAGGAGCTGTCTTGATTGAGTAAAAGAATTCAACATAACAAGCTTTACTTGTTCAGCTCATGGAAATGGTTTAAGTGTCCGGTGATGGTTTCATAATGGGAAACATACTATAATTAGTGTCATACTATGATGTAAGTCCATATAATTGTGAGGTCTAGCAATTAAGCAGACCATTTGATAGGGGACATTATTTGCAAGCACTTGATTTCTTTCTTATGTCAGCTGAATATAAGCAGGTCTGTCGCTACCGTACTCAAGTGACTATTAAAGGGAATGTTTGACAGTGTGTTCTTATGCTTGTTCATGTTTCTTCGAAGGAAGTAGCAGCTTCTATAGCCTCTCTTCAGGAAGAGTTCACGGGCAGAAGCACTTGTTCTCTCTGACACTAATTCCTCAAAAACACTGGCTTTATTCGAGGTGCTTTCACATATGTTTTTTGGCCTCATCTCTCTTTTGAGATAACTCAGTTGACCATAGTTGCAGGCTTGAGGGTGAGAACGAGCAAAGATTGTTGCACTGGGGAGACTAGGCTGAAAAACGAAAATGTGCATTTGGAAAGGGACATCTGCCAGAATAGATGCCATTAGACTACTGTCTGTCCAGTTCAGTCGTATTATCTATAGCAACACCTATCATGAACTTGCATGTGTCTTCAAGTAGGATATGGAGGAGGCCCTGAGTACATAACTCTCCATCTCTAATATCATTATATAAAAAGACGGAAGTGGTAAGCGTCCTTCTTTGTCTCTATTGCATATCCTTCTTGCCTCTACTGCACACTTGGTTCGCTTTATTTTAGTGCCCCTTTTTCTTATGGATGATGCCTTAATGAAGCTTAACAATCCTACTTCCCCTGATGTCCAGTAGCTCTGGCTGCTGATATACTAGGATTGCCAAGTCGTCACTTCTCTAATTTATAGCTATATATTAGAGCTGAATTGTTCAATGCACTCATTATGTGCTTGTGTAGCCTTAAAGCCCTTACGAATGGAGGATATTCTAACGCTATGGTGAAATTGGAGTGTAGGAGGTAGCGGAGAGCTAGGGATTTGGTTACCTAGAAAGCAAGAGATTCTGGTATCTAAAATTCAATTTTCAGTTGGATGGAGTAGATAAGCATGTATGGTATGTTAGTCGATTGCAAAATGCTGGTTAAGCTTAAGGGAAAGAATAGTGCGAGATATACTAGGACTGGTTCACATAATTGTTATGCTGAGTAAAGGAACAGACTCTTGTTGAAAGTTTGATATGACCAATATGCCTGAAGACCCCTCTACAGTCTGCCACATAAAATGGGGGTAGTGGATGGGAGAATGTTTGGATGGATGGGTTAATACTTATGAAAGAAAGAAGTAGATATGGCGAATTCGAGTAAATATTACTGTGCTTTGAACATGTGAGATGACGGCCTTCAAATGCTTAAATGAGAAAGTATTATTTTATGATGGGATATAGGCTAAAAAGGGTAGGAAGGACCCAAAAAGATTTGGTGACCCTTGGAAAAAAGCATCTCGAGTTCTGGAATGTTATGGAAGATTTGATATTGTACAGGGGACAAAGGCATAAAAGAATATAATGAAGCATACAATGTACCACAAAAGTTATCAAATTTGAAACTTAGCCGGGAGAAATGGTTTACTTAATAGGAAAATACGGGGTGGTTGTATTGGACTTACCAATCTATTTTCGTATTGATCTTCAGAAGCCACTCCCAGCAAATAGGTCTTTATCAGATCATATGTGGTGCAAAGAGAGAAAAGAGGAAAATCTCGAGGAGTGTGACAGCATTTTGCGAAAATCAGTGAGAAATCCTTTTACTGACAAGTAGCCCCATGAGCATTGGCTAATTAAATGCAATGGATTCGTGCATTGGCATTATCCATGAGCTTCAAGGTGACTGAAATCTGCTTGTTACTCCCAATTCAGGTAAGAAGCAACAGTTTGTGCAATTGCTTACTTGTAAATAATGCCATGATACACGCTGTATGCTCTTCTTTGGTCGATATGAACCAGGTTGCATGAAATTTCTGAGAGGTTACTGGACAGAAACCTTTTCATTTTGAAGCTCAACAATGTCTGCTTCTAGCTAAGGCCCGTTCACTTGTCTCAGAAGACTTCCATTACACATCAGAATGCCCAACAGAAATGATCCTGTTGAGTATATCGTACTCTGAACATTTTGTTCACTCATCTGAGAGTTTCAGGCGGATGACTATAACTTCACCGAGCTCTATGAGATATACTATGCACATTCTGCTACTAATGCTCATTGGAGAGGTATGGCTGCACAATCTGAAGATCATTTCGCTGCAGTCTCTCCGTTACTGTGATTTGATTACCATTACTACATGCATCCTTGGCGCTGCTACACAACAGCAGTTGCTAAAAGGAGGAAGATTGTTTTGGCTGGAGGGTCTTCTGTATTGTGAAGCTTATGATTACAAGGATACATATATAGTTAATGTCGACGACGTGTTTTTACCTTCTTTCTTCAGTACTGAGGTGCTGTTATTGAATAAATCATGTCATTGTTTGGCCAAAACAAATGAACCACATAACTAGTAATCATGTCAATTAATTCCATGCACAAAAAATTCTTTTGCTGACAGATTTTTATTGATGTGTTATTAAGAATCATTGTAAATCATGTCAATGCATCTTCCTCTATCTAAAAGAACTGATTAGAAGTTTCTAATTAATCATGTTGTTCGAGAGTTATGTTGGGTGATGAGATTAAAGGAACGGACACCATATATGGACTTTGCTCCAACAGCATAATGTGAATTCCTATATCGATTTTATGTTTAAAAATCTGTCATATATTGAGTTAGATTCGATGCCCAATAAAAATCTGTCATATTATTCAGTATATCAACTTTGTAAATTAAACTAATATACATCCATTATTATTTAATCGAAATTCATGCATTTTTCATCATCGACTGACTTTAGACTATATTAACTAGGGGAAAATTGTTCAAAAAGTCTTAAACCTATTGCATTTTTACCAATTTAGTTCTAAACCTTTTAATTGTGCTAATTGAATCCTAAACATTTTCAACCATTCGTTCAATTTTGGCTAGAAATCACTGATGTGGATGCTAGCTGTCCTACGTGGTACGGTCAAAACTGACGTGAATAATTTTTAATATCATTTTAATATGTTTTGAATTTTTTATTAATTTTTTTCCTTTTTCCCCTTTTCTTCTCGTCCTTCTTTTTTACCTGTGGTCAGCGAGGGTCGCCAGGCCCTTGCCAACCACTGGGTGAGGGCCGCGAAGCCCTCACCTAGATTTGGCAAGGGACTCAAAGCCCTCGCCGACAGCGGGAAGGGTCGCGGCCCTCGCCCGCGATCGGCGAGGGCTGAGGTCGCCTTGCTTAGATTTGGGCGAGGCTGGCTCGCTCATCGCCACGATGGCCTCGCGCAGATATGGGCGAGAGCATCCTAGCCCTCGCCGGCCAAAGTTGTAAAAAAAGAAAAAGAAAGAAAAGAAAAAACGGAAAAGGAAAATAAAAATTAAATATATTAAAATATTATTAAAAGTTATCTACTTCAACGTAGGTCGTGCCACGTAAGACGGCTGTTATCCACGTCAGCGATTTCCGACCAAAATTAGCCTAATGAAGTCAATTGGCAAAACGTGAAAATGTTTAATTTTCAATTGGCATAAATAAAATGTTTACACTGAATTCGGAAAAGTACAATAGGTTTATGATTTTTTTGGTAATTTTCCCGATTAATTGGCAGTGGGCCCGGCCTATCATTGAGCATAAATTTTTTTTTGTCCTAACCTGCTCATAATTAAAGAAAAATAAAATTTAAACGTGAAATTATTCGGATCTGGACAAAACCAGTGCAAATCAAGTTGATCGGGCGTGATCCAAGAAGGGAATGAACTTGACGTAAAATTATCCTTTCGAAAAAAAAAAAAAAGAATAAGGTTCCGAGACCGTACGTAGGGGATTCGAGCAAGGAAATTTTTCATTTTCTTTGGTTTATCCGCCTAGTTTCAACTTAACATATTAGATAATTAATAAACCAATTGGGACGGAATTTCATCATTTTTTTTTAACTTTAAACTACCAATAATGTTCATAAATTGCATGTATTTCTCATTGATTATGAATTAAAATGACGTTGCTTTTGTGGATAATAGATGAAACTCGCGCGATATCCTCATTTTACTTTTCAGCCAATGGAAAGTTTCATAGGTTCTGGCGACAGTAGAACTCGTCAAGAGAAGAAGGGTTCCTGTTCAGATGATTGACAAAGCAAACGTTGTCAGTCACCATTAAGAGGTCGGAAACGGGTTCATTTGGCACTCCACTATATCAAATTAGTCCTTTGCACCAAAACATCGAGAGAGGCAATAAGAAACAAGAGAGGCAGGAGCCATCAGACGGTCCAAAGACATGGCCAAAATGTGTGTAGCCATAGCGGCCGTGCTGGCCGTGGCGGCTCTTCTTCAAACCTCAGCCACGGGGACCGAGTACATCGTCGGGGGTGAGCAGGGGTGGAAGGTCCCGCCTGAGGATGGGACGCCCTACAAGACATGGGCTGAGGACAAGAGCTTCAAAGTCGGCGATGTTCTGGGTAAGCACACTCGAAAGGAAAGGTTTAGTGCTTGAATAAATGAAAGATACTTTTATCGTTCGCGAAATTATTTAGACATTAATTGTTATCGATAATAAAAATATTTTTCATTGATTAATTATTTCAAGCGAATTATAAAAAAAAATTTCAGATCATTCGTTTCTCACGAAACAAATGGAGCCTCGATTGTACTTTTAGTTTTGCTCACCATAAATTGCCATCTTTATTTATTCTCTCGTGGTTAAATTACATACGTGCAACTACTAATTGAAAAATTCACAGTTGGTTTGCATTGCAAAACACATAACACTAGCGAGAAATTAACGTTTACGCCAAGGGCTTTTCCATATGATTTACCAAATACTTCTAGGGTTGCAATTTGCTTTTCAAGAAAAGAAGTTTAGCAAGTTCAGACCATGCAATTAGGGCATATCCAAGTCGAGCCGACGCAATGCCAAGCTTGAGCTCGACTCGACAAGAATACCCGAGACTCGAATTCGAGCTCGGGAGCCACTCGAAATTAGGTAAATCAATCCCGAGTAGTCACCGAGCCGAGCCCGAATAGACCCGGTTTCATCCCGAAATGCACATCCTGGCACTGATATATGATCATTAAATTAACCTCTCTTCTCGTTTTGGCTCCAAACGTTGGCAGTGTTCGACTTCTCCAAGGAAGAGCAAGATGTGACGAGGGTCAGAGACGAGGCGGCATTCGAATCGTGCGACTCCACAGACCACATCTTCCAAAAGACGACCGGCCCGGTCCGCTGGGAATTGAAAGGCGCCGGGGAGTACTACTTCATCGGCACCGTGGGCAAGCGCTGCCTCCGGGGACAAAAGCTGGCCATCAACGTTGCCGACGCCCCCGGCGGCCCGTCCCCTTCGGTGGAGGATCTTATTGAAAAGCCGAAACAAGGAACACCCATCCACTCTTGGAGGAAGACTCCTAAAGAGACGACATCACAAACTAAAAGATGTGGACCTAGATTAAGGGGAATAAAGCTGTGCCCGTGAAAGGACGAAAGCCAATAAGGTGATGGGCCCGTGAAGAAAAAATGAAGACAAAGCGCCGCCGAAGATCTCTCCACCGAATAATGCATGTTAAAATATGTTTCTTTTAAGATATTTTTCTCTACGAGAGATAGTTATAATATCTCTTTTGATCATTACGCATGCATCTCTATTCTATTTGATTGTGCGTATCCTTGATTGATATGTTATCTTGGATAATATCTAATAAAACTTATTGCTTGTGTACTCTTCATTACAATATATATAATTTCGTGTCATCCTTTTCAATAACTACTCATAGCCCTCTCTCAAAGTCAGATCCTCAACATTGTTCACGTCGTCAAACCGCCTGTTCTATTGTCGCGTAACATGCAGAGCCCTGTTATCTAAAAAAGCGCCGTCGGATTTGTTTCGTAATAACCGTATCGGCCACGTTTTTATTCGGTGTTCGTAATGATGAAATTTTGGAAGGAGATTGGTTAAAAGGCCAAATAATTAGCTTAAACATATCCCTTGTTTCAACTTAACTTCCATCATTTCAAAATTGACCGGATTGACTATATTAGAAAATCGTTAAAAGTTTTAAGATTAAATTGGCCAAATTGAAAAGGTTTGGTACGGAATTGATGACCGTACAATAGGTTTATGACTTTTTTGACAATTTTCTCGTTTTTATAAGGATATCTAAAAACAATAGTACTTTACCTATAGATACTCATACTTTTATTAATATAAATATTGTTCGTAATTTTTTAGATAGATAAACTTTTCAAACTTTTATATTGCGTGTTTTTGTAATTAAATTAAGAAAGTCTGTAGATTAGGAAAGTAAAATAGCAGGCATATAAACCCGATGCTACACTAAACGAATACTCGTGAATATTACCGACAAAATGATCAGACCTTATCATATACAATTAAGAGACTAAATTAAATAAATTGAAAGTTTAATTTTAGATTATATATATAGGATTAATTCAGTGATCACCATGGACTAATTAAAAGTCTAAAGATATGGGTGTACCAATTTGGAGTAAATGTGACATGAGCGTATCGATTTGCGATTTTTTATGATACAAAATTTTTAATTTTAGAGTAACTGTGACAATGATATAACAGTTTTAGGTTTTTGTTAGTATAGACCTTTGTTGGGTATGCTAAGCTAAGGAAGTTTGAGTTTTAGGGTTTCGATGGAAATGGCTGTCAGAATTATGTTTAAGATGTCTTGCCAGTATGTCTCATGTATTGATTAATCAGTGGAAACTTTACTTTGTTAACATGCGAGACCTTTTACATGTCTGGCCAGAATAAGATGACTGGATAGAGAACTTTTGCACTTCAAGGACTCCAGGTTAGCACATTCAATTATCTCTTCGGTGAATGCCACGGCATTGCCTTTACTGTTCGTCTGGCTGCTGCTAGTGACAGGCGTAGTGGCATGGAGCTTTATGTTCTTATTCTCCTCCTCTTCTCCTTTTCTAATCAATTTCGTCCCTTGGCTAAGAGTAACTAGACACGTACTTTTTATCGAAGGAATGCTTATTATTTTACTCGCTCTTGCAATCTGGTTTTTCTTCAATTGGCGGGCGGCACCAAAGCTCGCACATGGTTGCCGGACTTGAAGAAACATGGACTTTCTCAAGCTAATCTGTTCCTGGTATTGTCTTTTCTCTCGTTTCTGTTCTATCACTTGTTTTCCTGTTTCTCTTCCTTTGTTTTTCCGGTTTCTCCGCGGTTTGAAGCTAATTGTCGGACGTATTAGAAGAGAACTTCCAGGATGGGCAATCGACACTCGGATCACGCAAGGCGTTGGATACTTTTATTGGAGTCATTGCTTATGGAGGGTATGGTCGTAAGGTTATTGGATGAATTCCTTTCTGGTTATCAATAAAGAGGTACTTTTTTGGACTTGTTGATAATCGGTGAATTTGGGTCAAGGATTTTGGTAAGCAAGCTGCACACTCTTGATCAGATTGTTGGTAGGATTCTCAGCTCCATGCAGTCACGACATGGACCGACTCGCGCAGAGGAATTTCTGGGTTATCTCTGGAAGGTGCTAGCAGAAGCACTGCTTTAGTCCGAACTGTCAAATGCTTCGTATACCTGCTTGAGACGGCATTGAACTAACGACTTGTCGTAGTCATGCTTCGCTTTAAATTTTAATGGCTCCAGTGTTCCTTATATGAATCTTGACCTTAAATTTCCGTTGGGAAACTTTGCTTGTGTTAAAATCGGTGAAGTTTCTCATGGATTCTGTTCTCTTCTTATTATCACGCTAACCAAACGCTAAAAGAAAATGTACAGTGATTTCTGGTAGAATGCATTGAACTTTCTAACTTAAAAGCCGCTGCAACTGACTCGATCATGTCCTATATACATGATGGGCAACATTGTTTGCTGCTTACGGTTACTTTCACGTGTAGTCTGTATGCATGTGAAATGAGATGAGCATATAATCTGGACTCATCAATTTACTTAAATTTGAAATGGTGGGTTGATTTGCCCTGGTTATTGGTGTAATTACTCATCTGAGAAAGAAAAAACTCAGTTTACTTAGATACTGAAATTGCGTGCATTCTCGTTGAAAATGAAGTCTAAGGATATGATATTAATCCCATCGGAAGTCCCTATACCGGCATCCAGCGCGTGGCGATCCCTGTAACCGATAGCGGCACTCCAAGCACACAAATCTGTAATCTTATCACCTGCTGTTAGCAATGGAACTTGGAGCTATCTTTGAAACAACGTGACTTCACACAGAACTTTTTCCACAGAAGGCCATCATCAAACCAGAACAGTCAGACTAGGACATCCTTTATAAACTGCAAAAGGAAGCAGCACTGAAACAACAACCCACATTCACATAACATGCTAACTTCGCATCCTTCGCTCCGCATGGCAATCGATGTTCAAAGTTTTGATGTCCCACCAATGTCTACCCTCCAAAGATTCTTAAACCTAAACATTCTCTTCTGTTTGCAGTACTAAACAAATTTTATTTAGCCATGAAGTCTACAAACATGGTCTTCAAACCAAAATCTCTCCATCACTTAGCTCGCATTCAAGAGGTCTGAAGTCCGACATGCAGAGCTCACCTCTGTTTTCCATCGGCAAAGTTACGAGCTCCAAGCTCACCTCGGGGTCACAATCCCTGAGGTCTGAGGCGCCAAGCTTGCTGAAGACCAAGCTCGCTTCTGTAAACGAGCTCAGCCTCTTTGAATATGCTTAGCTTCGGATTTTTATTGATGTGTTATTACTAAGTAATGTCGTAAATCATACCGATGCATCTTCCTCTATTGAGAAGAACTGATCAGAAGTTTCTAATCAATTATGTTATTGAGAGTTCTGTTGGGTGATGAGACTCAATGAACGCACACCACATTTGACTTTGCTCTATCAGCATAATGCAACTTTCTCTTTCGATTCTACGTTTCCGAGCTCAAGACGAAAACCAAGCACAATATGATGAAACTGCTGTGATAATCACGGGAAGTTTGAGCACTTCATTTTCTCAATGAACAAGCTTGAGTGTGGAGAACGAGAGCTTGATTGATTTCTATTATTTGAGAGTTACATGCACCTAATTTTCCTACTTTCATGGGCGGATTAATCTAAGCCAAAAAGATCTTCAAGTCAAGGTCGCGAGGAAAAATAAGTGGTTCATATCAATTTCTTCTTTGTATTATTCGATATATTTTATTATTTGCTTGGGGAGCACACGAAAATGATACTTTACCAAACTAAACACGTCTCAAAAGTTTCTAGAAAAACCCCCTCCATCACGTTCGTAATTTTAGCGGGAGATATTGACAAATACACCTCTCCCTGGAGCGCTTTGTGATTGACAATTTTGCAATTAAATTTTTTGAAATAGAGGGAGGGGACCAAAGGATCTTGACTTCATGACTTATATAAATATGTATACGTGTGAAAATATTATTGTATTGTTTTTAGTGGTTGAGAGAAGATTAGTATGATATTTGAAGTGATGGGTTTTACATATGAACCTCCCATCGTACCTAACTATATACATGTAAAACATGCGAAATCTCCATTGGGATGATTGAGCTAGCCATAATGAGAAAAAAGAGCAAAGGACAGCAAAGGTGCCCCATTGCGAGATTTTTCTGTATATTCTTACTTTGAATTGAAATGCTAAACGTGACAGTTACGCCTTACAATAGGCGATACTTGAATTTGTGCAAATCAAACTTAGTTGTGGTAGGTAGGTTTACTGAGATTGATACTCAAAGATGATATATCAGTAGATGTGACGGATTATTGATGGACATTTTAATAGTCGACTTATATTCAGTGCCCAATAAAATTCGGCCGTAGTTTTTTGTAAATCAAACTTCGGTATATCTAATATTATCGAATCAATTTTCGTGGGGAAATTTATCAAAAAAGTCATAAACATATTACGCTTTCGCCAATTTAGTGCTAAACTTTTTAATTGTACCAAATGAGTCCTAAACCTTTTTCACGTTTTGCCAATTAAGTCCATCTAGCCAATTTGGCCGGAAATTTATGACCTTTTTTTTCATGCATTTGTTATTATATGCTTATTTTAGACCAATTGGCGGGCCAGGCCCATCATCGGGCACAAAATCCCTTGTTCGAGCCTGCCCATTATTAAAGAAAAATAAAAATTTCTACACAAAATCCGTCGAATCTGAACAGAATTGTGCACATCAAGGTGATTGGGCGGGGCTCAGGACGGGAATAACTTGTGCAGATCTACCTGTTTTGGTTCTTTCTATTTCTGCACTAACTACGATTTCATTTGTCTCTTCTGAAGATTGATTACTTTTATGAGCACCAAGGCCTGTTCAACTTCAATTCCGCATTTAACAATTTTGCTGAAATGCGAGAGAAACCCCTGCATCATTTTCCCAGTCGCTGTAGCAAAACGTGTTGACTGCTCACGTGTGCACATAACATGCTCTTCATAGGACTTTCTCGCACTAAAAAAGATGCCTTTCACAAAGAATGTTAGAGAACGAAATCGGAAAAGAAAAGGTATTAATAAGTTGAAGGATAAAAAAACAAACTTAAACGTATAATCCTCGTTTCGAATAGGCCTATGAGACCATACTAACGGGTGTTCGAACGAGGAAATTTTTAATTTTCTCAGGTTTAGCGGCAAGTTTTTGCTTAACCCGATTGCTAATCGATAGAACAATTGTATTCCCAATATAGAATTTTATCATTTGCTTAATTTTAAGCCACCAGTAACGTTTACGTGTAACATATACTTCCCATTGTTTGAAATCGAATATAATATCTCTTTTGTGGATAAAAGATAAAAATTCACACAATAATCAGAGTTGTTCTTTTATGCTTTCATTGAACTTCAAAGCTAATGTTCCTCACTTATTACTGACAGCTATTTTAATCTCGTTTCAGGAACTGAACGAAAGTCCCCCGTGTCGTGGCGAAAGTGTTCTACAATTTCTCGGAACCTCTTCCTCAGTTTTACTCTTCAGCCAATGGAAAGTTTCATAGGTGCTGGAGACGTGGAACGTGTCAAGAGGGGAGGAGATCATCTTCTTTCTCGGGCTACCGGAATTCAACGCAGAAGGTTCCTGTTCAAAATGATTGACAACGAGAAACGTCAAGCTGCATTTAAAATAAGATAAGTGAACATCGCGCCGTTTTGACTTTGGTGGGATTGCTTTGCATCTCATCCCGCGTCCCTTCATTGACTGAAAAGACCTTCACGTGATTCGCTTCGTTATATAAGAGGCCAGAAATGGGTTCATTAAGCACTCACCTCATCAGATTAGTTCTTGCACCAGAACATTCAGGGGCAAAGAAACAGAGACTAGAAAAGCCGTCCAAGGGTCTCTATAGACATGGCCAAAATGTGCGTAGCCATAGCCGCGGTACTGGCCGCGGCAGCCCTTCTTCAAACCTCGGCGGCGCAGACCGTGCACGTCGTCGGGGATGGCCTCGGGTGGTTGGTCCCGCCCGGCGGTAAGATAGCCTATGAGACCTGGGCCGACATGCAGACCTTCGTCGTCGGCGACGTTCTCGGTAAGCACACTTGGAACGAAAGTGTTGTAGGCTGTCATTGTACTTTTAGCTTTGGTTGCCATCGTAAAACTTTTTGCGTCGAGTTTTTCTGCATGATTTACCAAATACGTGTGGGATTGCAATTTGCTTTCAAGATAAGAAGTTGTAACAAGTTCAAATCATGCGATTAGGGGTGTAATCGAGTCGAGTCGTGTCGAGCTGACGCAATGTCAAGCTTGAGCTCGACTCGATCAGATACTCGAGAAGTTCGAATTCAAGCTCAAGAACAACTCGAAATTAGGTGAATCAATCCCGAGTAATCATCGAACCGAGCCCGAATAGACCCCGTTTTCATCCCGAGCTGCAACCCATGGCACTGTTATAATCGTTAACTAACTTGTCTTCTCATTGTGGCTCCAAAATTTTTCAGTGTTCAACTTCACAACCGGTGAGCAAGATGTGGCCAGGGTCACAAAGGAGGCATTTGACTCATGCAACTCCACAAGCCCCATCTTCCTAGACACAACCGGCCCTTTCAACTACACTTTGGATGCTGCCGGCGAGTACTACTTCATCGGCACCATGGACAGGCACTGCTACTTCGGACAAAAGCTGGCCATCAACGTCTCCGCCTCTGCCGGCCCGACCCCTTCGCCGCAGGCTCCGACCCCAACGCCGCCCCGAGGCCCAATGACATACATCGTCGGCGACGACTTGGGTTGGCTAGTTCCTCCTGGCGGCCCGATCGCCTACGAAGCTTGGGCATATAAGAAGACCTTCTTGGTTGGAGATGTGTTAGGTAAGTCCGATAATGCTACGAAATCATGCTTCTTTTATGTCTTCAAACACATGAGTCTCCATGTAAAACTAGTCACACACTTCATAAAAAAATTAAGTGCTAAGTATCACTTTTTATTTTTATTTTCGGCTTTGAATGAGATATCCCATGTTAGATTTGTTAAAATAAAAGAGTAATTAGAGTCGGCTTGTTTCGGGAAAAAATAATGAATGATTTGGATTTTTTTTCAAAGAAAAAATGATTTGGCCAATGAAAAATGTTTTTAAATGAACAATAATCTATCCTTTATTGGTTCTAAAAATGATTATTTCTATCACTTGAGTATCTTTCCCATGAGATTAAGTAGCATGCGAACCATCGAATTAATTTCAAAAGTCTAATTGGTTCTTTGTTATGCAGTTTTCAACTTCAAAAATGAAACCCAAGATGTCGCAGTGGTGACGGAAGCGGCCTATGATTCGTGCAACACCACCAACACCATCGCGGTCTATACGACAAGCCCGGTCAAATACAACCTTATTGCCGCCGGCGAATACTTCTTCACAAGCACCTACTCTCGCCACTGCATCTTCGGTCAAAAGCTAGCCATCAACGTAACCGCCTCCAGCTCCGCCACTCCACCTTCCAGCACCACAACCCCAACGCCGTCCGGCTCCTCCGCTCCATCTCCGACGGCCGGTGGCCCCTCGGCGCCGATACCCGAGAGCTCCGCTCCGGCTAGGGCTGTCCTCGGCTTCTCATCCACGTTGTTGCTCATCGCCTTGGCTTTTGTTCATTGAAATTTTTTTCTAGATTCTAGTAAATACAATATTGCTTTATACGAAATTCAATAGATACACCGCACACATCATTTGTCTCGGTCACCTTTTCTTCACGCGTGTTTGTTTATACTTTTCACAAAATAAGGTATCCGCCAGATTTTTTAGGCTTTTTTTTGTACCTTGATTTATTGTCAGTCCATCCAGGACAATAATGGTTGATCGATGTATTTAATTTCATTTAAATCAGTGGAGATTATACTATATGCTTGTGTAGTGAATCGCTTTTGATTTTGCTGCCTATGAATCAATAAACACCCGATGTTAACACTCTATCCCAATTCTTTACACATATCTGATATTCAATTAAGAAAAAATGCAGAAGTAAAATGGCATATATACACATGCACATATACATGTATACATGCCTGTACACATGCTCATATGCAAGTAGATAATGTATATAAGTCGGTCCACACGCACTTGCTTTGTGGTCGCGAATGTCAGTCCATGCGGCTCCTATTCACGGGGCAGACGTTCAATATGGAACCCTAAGAATATAGCCACACCCCACGAGACTTCCATGCACTTTCAAGTCGTTGAAAACTTGTACACGTAAGTACATGGGGCTCAAATTTCAAGGGATTCGATTAGGTGTTGACTTTAACAAAGTTTGATATGCGAATATTATACTGTATGGCATGAGATTTTGGTTCGTCATGTGCACGAGTCTCATTGGAGATACATATGACTGAAGGGATTCTTTTGCTGGTTATTTTAAAATTTCGAATTTTTAGTTAGAAACTAATGTGTGAAAGCAAGAATAGTGGAGATCACTATGCTTTTTCTTAATTATTGTTTTTTATCGCATGGGAAATGTGGGGGCACGCGTATTGAACCTAGTCTCATTGATGTCAAGGATGTAGTCTAAGATAGTAAAGGCAAAATAGAATCGTCAACTTCAAAATTGAAAAGGTTGCGGAAAAATATCACAAAAATATCTCACGTTTCTTTCGATATCACTTTCATATCTCTATTTTCAAAAATATCAATTTGCTATTTGAGTTTTGTTTTTGTTGACCATTTTGCACCTTCTTATCAGTTATGTTTATAGATTTATGTAAGGAAAAAAAAAACCATTTCTCTATTGAAAATGCCACCGTCCGGATAGTGAATTCCCAAGATCACCCATGACCCTCGAAACACCCCAAAACCTAACTACCCAACCCAAGCCCTAAGCTCGGCCACTAGCATCGGTAGTCGCCGATGGCCCTCCCCGATGACGCCGGAGCTTGCTGTTGTCCATTGGAAACCTTGAAGACGTCATCGTTTGACCGGTGTGTGGTTACTACAAGAACCACTCTCTAAATCGGCCTCAGTCAAGGTCGCCCATGGCGGCTCGTGACCTTAGAGCAAGGTTGCGAGCCACCTGTGGCCATGGACAGACCTAGGCTCCGTTTGGGAACTGCATTTCCAAGGCCACTCCGTTTGGGAACTGCATTTCCAAGGAGCTTTGGCCTCCAAAGCCCTTTGGGCAAATACAAATACTGTTTGGCAAATTTTTTGGAGAGCTTTGGAAAAATGCGATTGCATTTCCAAATGTCACTCCAACTTTATCCTCACTAAGTTTTTATAATTCTGGAAATATTCTTATCTCGCGTGACGTCACCAGCAAGGGTTCAACTGCCGACGAAGCCAGATCTAACCGCTAGCAAGCCAGTCTAGTGCCAGCCAACCTCGCCTGGTCGCTCAAACTCAAGCGGCCATTGCCTGGGTTGCGCAAACCCAGGCAACGGTGATGCAGTCTAGGTCACTCAAACCCAAGCAACCGTCGCCTGAGTCGCATAAATTATATAATATCTTTTCATTTCAATTAATTTTGTTAACTAATAAAAAAAATGAAATCTTTCTCGGTATTATGATAGTTCTATTTCATATAGAAAATTTCTCAAGCCATTGTATTTTTGTGTTTTCTTATTAAATTTAGTCAAATCCGTAAATTAGGAAAGTAAAATAGGAGGAATATAAACCCAGTGCAACTCTAACTAAGGTTCCATTTTTAGTATTATAGAGATTTTAAACTAAAATGTATCTAAATAGAACAATTCTAATATTTACAAAAACCGAAAATGTAAAAATCAATAAAAAGATATAAAAAATATTTATGGATCGAAATAAAAAAGATATTTTAAAAATTCGGGCACTAGTGTGATTATAAAAAGCTGTGAATAAATGTAATGAAAAGTTAGGGCCTAAATTGAATTAATTAAAGTTTAGAAATTATATTAAACACTTTTGAGTATCACGATTGACGAAAATAAGCACCATGATCACATTGAAGCCAAAATTTAGGATGCATTCGTTTCGCGAAAAATGAGTGATTTGAAAATATTTTTCGAAAAACGATAACTTATATCATTTAAAAAAATAAATGAATAGAAAATTTTTTCAATCGCCCACGAAAATAGTGAGGCATGATTTATTCAATGATGAAAATATTTTCTGTTAACTAATTTTTCTAAATGATATAAGTAATTATTTTTTAAAAAATATTTTTCAAATCACTTATGTTTTTTTAAAACGAATGCAGCTAAGCAAAAATTGTGTCATATTCTTTGGTTTTTACTTTTTGCTCCTTAAATTATCCTCGGACTAATACGAAACCGAAGGCTTGACTGAAGCCGCGGCCAGAACGCTCTCCTACCTCTTCTCTCCTCTTCGCATAAAACCCTCGGGACGAAGTGGGGGCAGCAGAGCATCGTCGCCGTCGGATACCCACGAAGCCTTTGCTCTGTAAGTGGAATCCCGCCTCCTCTTCTTTGTCCTGAATCTCGGTTCTTGTTATCAATTTCGAGTTTTTACGAAGTGGGTGCGATCGATCTTGGAAGACCAAGCTCGAGCTTCGTGCTGTGTTCGTATGCTTTGAGGTCGATCGATTGGTTGAAGAACTTTGGGGTTTGTTTCCGCTGGTGGGTTCTGGTACTGGGTCGATGTTTTTATGCCGATGTTGTCGCAATTCAGTGTTTGTTTGTGTAGCCAATGTTTTTGGTCAAGCTGCTCGCTGGTGCTAGAAAAGAATTTAAGCTTGGGTCAGAGATTGGAATTGGGTTGTTGCGCGCGTTTCAGGTTCTGAGATTCCAATTTCGGGGAATTTGTTTTTTTTTTTCCTTTTTCGGGATTGCGGTGGACTGGTGGAATTTATTGTGACCATTTGTGGTTGGATGAACTTGCAATCTGATTGTGTTTGCAATCAGATAGGTTTTGAGATAGGTTCTGAGATTTGTGTGTAATCTGATTGTCTTTTTCAGGATGAACTTGCAATCTGATTGTGTTTGCAATCCATTTGTGTGTGCAATCTGATTGTGTTTCCAATTTCAGGTTTTGCAATCAGATAGGTTCTGAGATTCCAATCTGATTGTGTTTGCAATCAGATAGGTTTTGTACTTCTGGTTGTCGGCATACGATGACTCGGGTTTGAGATCTGTTGCTGAAATATTGGTTTGTCTTGGAAGGTTTTCCTTGAAAATTTGTTTTCCCCTTTTGGGTTTTCAATGGTGAAAATGGAGAGCATTGAGTTTCTTCAGTTACTCTGTGGTAGGGATGTTGTGTTTGGATGAACTTGCATTTGGTTTGGACCTTTTCTGGTTTCTAGAAACGTCAGAAATCCATGATAGAATCTGACCATAAGTCCGGATTTATTATCTTCTTGCATAAGGATACTAGAATACCTAGTATTTACTAGCTCTTTTCTCTTAAGAGACTTAAAACCATTTAAGTTCATGGGCAGGGACAAAGACAGGTGAGAATGAAACTAGGAAACACCAATAAATCCAGGGCACTCCTACTAGTTGTAAGAGAATGAAATGAGGTTTCCTCTTTTCAATTCTGACTCTCCCACTCCAGTCGTTGCTTTTCTTCATTAGAATTCAATCCAACAACAGGCTTCTTAGTGAAAATAGAGATTCTTGGACGACATAGTTAAAAGAAAAAAAGGATTTCTATATTTGAAAGACAATTCCAAATAGAAAATTTGCAATCATTTCAATTTGCTTGAAAGGGAAAAAGGAGAGGTAATATCTACCCGTACATATTCATCAGCATTTCCCATGAATCTCAATGACCAATAATTGGAAATTGACGCGGTAAGGAACTTACTAGAGACCTGGCACCTACAGTCCAACCAATTGGAGAGAATCCATAGATTCCTTTTCGGGAGCGATGCATCCTTCCTGAATGTAGCATGCAACTCTCCATTGTACTGTGCTCATGAGGCTGATCTTGAGCCACCATCCAAGCATAAATTCCTTCGTTTAAGATAATACAAACTCAGGATATTCCACTGCACCGGTCGCTTGAGAGCATTTTCCAATACTATTATGGATCTTTCTTTGATATAGATATTAACTATGATGGAGAATATACCAATTCAAATTGAGTGAATTCAAAAACGATGTTACTGCATGAAAGATAGATAAATAAATTAAATATATAGAATAAGAAATAAAAAAAGAAGAAAGCTGTGGAGAGCAAGAAAGTTGCTATTTGCTTGTTTGGAAAAAGGATGCAAAACAAAATTAATTTGTGCTTGGCACCAATGCTATCACTCTAGCGGTTCCAGTCATTACTGGGTTTAGAAAACTTGATGTGTGAAGACTTACTATCAAGGCCTGCAGCAAGTGGGAGTTACGACTGCTGCTGTTAACCCATAGTACAAGTGGGACGGTCCCAGCTCACGACATGACAACTTGACCTATATCCTTTTGAAGATTTTGAAACGTTTGGGTGCTGACTCTTCAGATTGATACATGGCATTCACCCCTCAAATTTAAATTTCGGTTGGGAGCTTCCATACTGTGTCATTGTGTCCTAAGTAATTCAGATAATTTTGTGTATTTGCTAAAGCAGCTTAAATTAGCCTTTATTATAACGGAAAATTGTTTTATGCGAAACGGGTCAAAAGTAGTCAGTCGTGTCAATTTCAAAGTAGTTAAGTTTTTTCTGCACCAGAGAAGGGTTTCTCAATTGATATTCCACATACGGTGGTGTGCTCTTGTCTGATATTTGATATATTGCCACCAGTACCCTATGATAAGTTGATTGGCACGTTAGGTTGCAATGTTTCTGGTTCTTCTATTTCCTGAAATCCAAGGTTTCTTTTCCCCGTTTATTGGCTTAAAACTTTGCTTGCTTCGTTGTTGAGAGTTTTGTGACACTTTGGAAATTGTTTGGTTTTGTGATGTCTGTCTGGATTTTCCAGGACTTCTGACCATGCCGAAGAATAAGGGAAAGGGAGGAAAGAACAGGAAGAGAGGAAAGAATGAAGCCGATGATGAAAAGCGTGAACTTGTATTCAAGGAAGATGGGCAGGAGTATGCTCAAGTACTTCGCATGCTCGGTAATGGCCGATGTGAAGCAATGTGTATCGATGGGACCAAGCGCCTTTGCCACATAAGAGGGAAGATGCACAAGAAGGTTTGGATCGCAGCAGGTGATATCATACTTGTGGGGCTTCGCGACTACCAGGACGACAAGGCTGATGTGATACTCAAGTACATGCCTGATGAGGCTAGGCTCCTTAAGGCATATGGAGAGCTTCCCGAGAACACACGTCTCAATGAGGGTATTGCTGGTGGCCTCGATGAGGAGGATGAAGGCCCCGGCGATGATTACATTGAATTCGAGGACGAAGACATTGATAAGATCTAAACTAGGTTTGATAAACACCTCCTGTTCAGTTACCCTGGATGTTTCTCGCCATTGAGTTGTGTTTGCTGATAGTCAATTACACAGCATTTGGTATTCATGTTATAAAGTTGGATCTGGTTGTGAACCCTCGTGTAATCTCCATTTTACCCAGCGCAAGATTCTATATTTGCCCTGTCTCTGCAAGTGTTTTATATTACTCTTTGCACAGGTAATAATTAAGTTGCCTTAGGGAAGGCAGCTGATGTCCAGATGCGGCTGTAGGGTCGAAGTGTTTTCTTCAATTTCGTTCTATCTGGTGCTTTTGTACGCTCTGGTTTTGCTCTGGCTTTTGGCTTGTCGTAAGTCGCGCTACATCATCGATAGTTTACTAAGAATTGATAGTCCTTTACTTCTCTCCGGTAGTAAAGTCAAGATCACTTTGGTGATCGGTCTCATTAACTTATCTTTGTTAGTGTGAACTTTCCCTAGTAAACTTAATTTGCTAGGTCCAAGATTTGTTTTGAGTGTACTGAAGCATTGCCAATTTGATATTGCAATTCAAGTTATGAGCTTAGGCCATCACGTCGGAAACCGTGTTTCGACTTTCAGTGTTCCTTGTCGGGCAAAAAAGATTGGCTCTGTACTTCGTGAAATTCGGTTTTCACTGGTAGCTAAAACTTTTCAGATGGACCGCTTTACAAGATATCCCCAACCTCTTTGGGTTTTCACGATCGACGAGTCTCTAGCTACCTCTTTGCTCGATCGTGTCTCTACTTCCATTTCCCATGTATCATCAGGCAGCTACTTGTTAGTGCTAATGGTCGCTCCACAAAATCAACGATGCTTTTGATTTTCGAGAAAGAGTGCTGAGGAACATACCTGTTTTATAAAAAGAGCATGTTCCACATGTTTCGAGTTTTTAAAAGCACAAAGGTCACATGTCAGGTCAAACATTAGGACAAGTTCCACCTAACTCATAAATTATTTTACAGAAAGGGGACCTGCAATTTCCATGCATCGGTAAAGTCTTTCCTTATTCAACTCCGCAATTAACATGAAATTTAATGCTAATTGGAAGATTCCGAGGCATAGATATCTTTTTCATTGAACGAATTTCCGATGGAAGATTTCGACCCTTTTGTCCCGCCATGTTTCTAATTTCTACATGCAAATTTCCTAGTTCCCTCCTCCTCTTTGCATGCCAAGTCAATAAATCTCACCCACCATTGGCTCTGCTCTCTTCTGCCCTTTCGGGTTCTTGGATTTCTTTATATTACCAAAAGCAGGTCTTGAAAGACTAGGTGAAATGCAAGACCTTTCAATAATGAATAGAGTTGACTCGAAATGCTATTGTCCAAATCCATGGCAGATGTTGCCTTCTTTGACACGTTCCCCGCTTCTAGTTTCCCATTTTGGCTCCTCCTAACGAACTTGAAGCAATATAGAAACTTCGTTTTCACATAGTGTTCTAGATTAGTGTTATTGGCTAGAAGGAAAATTTGTCCAGAAAGTCTCAAATTTATTATACAGCAGTCAATTAAATTTTAAACTTTTCAATTTAACTAATTTAACTATAAACATTCTAACGATCTTCCAATGTAGGCCTTCTATCAATCTTGACTAGAAATCGCCGATGTGGCCACCGGCCGTCCTACGTGACATGATCGGCACTGACATTGATAATTTTCTAATTTTTTTATATTGTTTATATTCTTTTCTTTTCTTTCCACTATTCATCTTCTCGAAAGGGCTGGCGGGGGTCGCTAGGGCCTTAGCGATAGCCGACAACCCTCGCCTACAACAAGTGGGGGGCTGCACGCCCTCCCCGGCCACTGCGCGAGGGCCACGAAGGCCTCGTTTGCTACAAGCGAGAGCTTGCAAGCCCTCACCGGCCTAAATCGAGGGCCATGAAGCTCTTGCGAGTCCTCCCCCATATCTAGGCAAAGGCTACGAAACCTCGCTCGCAGTCGATGAGGCCTTCCAGCCCTTGCCCAAGGTTGGTGAGGGCTCTCCCAAATCTAGGCAAAGGCCGCGACCTTCACCCGTGGCCGGCAAAGGTTCCCAATGGTCGGTGAGGGCATGCTTCCGGCCACCCTCGCTGACCCTTCAAGGAAGATAAATAGTGAAAAAAAAGGAAAAAAATTATATTAAAAAAATTGCAAAAATGTCCACGTCAGCGCCAACCATGCTACATGGAATGTTCCACGCTACATTAGCAATTTACGATCAAAATTGGCCAGAAGGACTATACTGAAAAATCGTTAAAAGGTTTAGAACCAAAGTAGCCAAATTGAAAAGTTTGGAACTGAATTAACTGTTGTACAATACTTTGAAGACTTTTTGGATAATTATCCCGTGGTGGGTATATATTTGAACTTTTAAAAAGAAGAAACCAACATGCTGTTAAAAATAATAGCCTTAGAAAAATATACGACCCTCATCCGGGCTAACCAGCATTAAAAACAAAGTAGTTTACTCAAGTTCAATACCGATTAAATATTGACTCAAGCTTACAAAGAGAGGGAGAATATATATAAGAGTATATAAATCTTGTAACCATGTGATGTGAGATACTTTAATAATCCTAAAGGGAAATCATGTATACATAAAGAGCATATAAATTAGTAATGTGAGATACTTTAGCGGAAGAAACTGGCGATGCAGTACCGGTCGATATTAAGAGAAATGATTAAGTGACCATCCTTAATTTACTGTGAGATTAATAGCATGTTTTAATAATTATAAATTATTGCGGGGTCCATCTTTTGAAGAATTTGTGGCTCAAATAACGTTAAGCTAGCTCTTTCACAAACGTTCAAATCTATCCCTTTGCGTGCTGGCAATTTTTTAGGAGAAATTCAGTGCCTTGCATGGACTTTCATCGATGGCATTCAATGAAAAAGCATTAACTCAGTGAAAGCAGAAAAATCCCCCCCAGAAAGATAAGCCTTTGGGTTTGGTGTGGTCCTCACGCCGCAGCCTGATATTCTGGAAGGCCAACCAGTCCAAATCGCCGCGCTCGTTCGAGAAGTTGTTCCATTTTGAATATTTCTCTTCTTGTGGCCAACCTATTTGTAATAGTTCAAATAGAAAAATTGAGACCGAATTGGATCTCTGATTAGTTCGATATCTAACCGTCAATCGATTAGCTAAACTGGATGCCTATCTAGAGTTAAATACATGGGATTAATAGAGAAAAAAAAAGGTTGGTAAAATCATCATTTGGTCAGTTGCATCGAGTTCTGTTCCGTGTATGAAATTGTGTAGGGTACATGTTTCCAACCCTATAGTTCGAAGTCCTGATTTGTCATGATTCTTAAAGAGGGCTAATTAAAAAAAAAAAAGCACTAACTTTACCTTAAGCGACAATTCTGTCATTTTTGTCTCAATAAAAAGCACGAATTTTTACTTGAGTTCTAAATCTGGCCCCTTGATATGAAATTTTCAAATTGTTCGTGCTAGATTTTGGATTTAAGTAAAAGTTAGTGATTTTTTATGAAATAAAAAAAAATTCGGGTCTAAATTGTCACTCAAAATAAAGTTAGTGCTTTGTTTTGAAATTAGGCCTTCTTAAAGAAACATTTAAATGGATAACATTTAATTGGATGGACATACTACATCAGCATGTCACGTAATATATGTTTTGCGCCGCCTCATGGGCATGCAAAAGTCACGCAGCAATTTCCACACCCAGGCCAAAGCAATGCCTAGACCCAGATCCTATAAATAGAAACCCTAGCCCATATGATCCTCTCACTTCGGTCCTAACTCTCTTTCTCTCATTTTTCTGGAGCTCAAAGAAGCTCAGCAAGCACGTCATAGAGGGAGACCTGACCGATTTAGCACACAAACAAGAAACAAAGGGAGAAAAAAAGATGGTGAGAGGAATGAACATGCTTGCGTTGATGGTGTTCCTGGGAGCTGCAATCCAGAGTTGCAGTGCTCAGACGACGTACACGGTCGGCGATGGTGTTGGATGGAATGTGCTTGTGAACACCACTCAGGCCTATGAGCTCTGGGCTGCCAACAAAACCTTCATGGTTGGTGACATCTTAGGTGAGTCTATTCCTATTCATGTCTCTATTAGAGAGCATTACATATTGAATCACGAGTTTTTATCTAACAGCTTAAATTCTTGAATCGGCGATGGTGATCCCACGAAATATAAAATCAAATATATGGTGCTAAAGAAAGATCAACACCTATCTTATGAAATGAATCTTTTTTCTCAAGCTTTGAAACTAAAGATATAGTTGGATTTGATTTCCTAAAAGGCTAAAACTTAGCATAAGACGTATTGAAATATACATTGATTTGGATATTAACAATAATGCCATTCATTTCTGTGTATGTAGTGTTTAACTTTATCAACGGGACACAAAACGTCGCCGAGGTTACCAAATCAGCGTTCGACTCCTGCAACATCACCTCCACCATCTCCATCTACACAGACCCGCCAGTCAGAATCACCCTTGCCACCCCTGGTGAGCACTTCTACACATCCACCTACACGAACCGCTGCTCCCTCGGCCAGAAGCTCGCCATCAACGTGAACGCTGCCTCCGCTCCTGGGCCGGCCCCTACAACTACACCAACACCACCTGCTGCTTCTGCACCGGCACCGACGTCAACCCCGACAAGGTCGCCAATGACTTACACCGTAGGTGATGGTGTTGGATGGAATGTGCTTGTCAACACCACTCAGGCCTATGAGCTCTGGGCTGCCAATAAGACCTTCATGGTTGGTGACATCTTAGGTGAGTCTATTCCTTTTCATATCTCAATTGGAGAGCATTACATATTGAACCATGAATTTTTGTTTAACGGCTCAAATTCTTAAATCAACAATAGTGATCCCACAAAACGTAAAACCAAAAATAGAGTCCTATCTTATGAAATGAATTTTTTCACTCTAGCTATCAAACTAAAGATATAGTTGGATTTGATTTCCTAAAAGGCTAAAACTTAGCATAAGATGTATTGAAATATACATTGATTTGGATATTAACAATAACGCCATTCATTTATGTGTATGTAGTGTTTAACTTTATCAACGGGACACAAAATGTCGCCGAGGTTACCAAATCAGCGTTCGACTCTTGCAACATCACCTCCACCATCTCCGTCTACACAGACCCGCCAGTCAGAATCACCCTTGCCACCCCTGGTGAGCACTTCTACACATCTACCTACACGAACCGTTGCTCCCTCGGCCAAAAGCTTGCCATCAACGTGAACGCTGCCTCGACTCCTGGGCCGGCCCCAACAACTACACCAACACCACCGGCTGCTTCTGCACCGGCACCGACGTCAACCCCGACAAGGTCGCCAATGACTTACACCGTAGGTGATGGTGTTGGATGGAATGTGCTTGTCAACACCACTCAGGCCTATGAGCTCTGGGCTGCCAATAAGACCTTCATGGTTGGTGACATCTTAGGTGAGTCTATTCCTTTTCATATCTCAATTGGAGAGCATTACATATTGAACCATGAATTTTTGTTTAACGGCTCAAATTCTTAAATCAACAATAGTGATCCCACAAAACGTAAAACCAAAAATAGAGTCCTATCTTATGAAATGAATTTTTTCACTCTAGCTATCAAACTAAAGATATAGTTGGATTTGATTTCCTAAAATGCTAAAACTTAGCATAAGACGTATTGAAATATACATTGATTTGGATATTAACAATAACGCCATTCATTTTGTGTATGTAGTGTTTAACTTTATCAACGGGACACAAAACGTCGCCGAGGTTACCAAATCAGTGTTCGACTCCTGCAACATCACCTCCACCATCTCCGTCTACACAGACCCGCCAGTCAGAATCACCCTTGCCACCCCTGGTGAGCACTTCTACACATCTACCTACACGAATCGCTGCTCCCTCGGCCAGAAGCTTGCCATCAACGTGAACGCTGCCTCCGCTCCTGGGCCGGCCCCAACAACTACACCAACACCACTTGCTGCTTCTGCACCGGCACCGACGACAACCCCGACAAGGTCACCAATGACTTACACCGTAGGTGATGGTGTTGGATGGAATGTGCTTGTCAACACCACTCAGGCCTATGAGCTATGGGCTGCCAATAAGACCTTCATGGTTGGTGACACCTTAGGTGAGTCTATTCCTATTCATATCTCAATTTGAGAGCATTACGTATTGAAGCACGAATTTTTTGTTTAACAGCTCAAATTCTTAAATCGACAATAGTGATCCCACGAAATATAAACCAAAGATACAGTGCTAAAGAAAAACATCAATCCCTATCTTATGAAATGAATTTTTTTACTCTAGCTTTCAAACTAAAGATATAGTTGGATTTGATTTCCTCAAAAGCCTAAAACTTAGTATAGACAATTATCATTGGATGAACTAAAAAAGACATTGATTTGGATATTAACTATAACGCCATTCATTTTTGTGTATGCAGTGTTCAACTTTGTGAATGGCACACAAAACGTTGCCGAGGTTACCAAATCAGTATTCGACTCCTGCAACACCACCTCCACCATCTCTGTTTACACGGTCTCGCCAGTCAAAATCACCCTTGCCACCATCGGTGAGCACTTCTACACATCCACCTACTCGAACCGCTGCTCCCTCGGCCAGAAGCTCGCCATCAACGTTATCAGCAGCTCCACCACAACTCCATCACCATCTCCCGCTACCCCTCCGTCGCCAGGGAACTCGGCCGCCTCTTTGGGCGTCACCGGCTTGTTCTCGGGGATGTTGTCCATTGCCGTAGTGTTGTTGTACTAGATTAGTTAAGTGATATTTTTCCTTGGTTCACTACATGGCGATCGTGATTCGTTTTTGTGAGTTGTTTTTTTTTTTAGTATTGAGACTCATACTTGTTGATTATGATTGATTGTATACAATAAAGTTGATTTTTCGTGAACTACGTACTGGACTAGCCAGATAACTAAATGGGTACTCAGCTCGATTTATCAAACCTTCTCGAAGTCAAAGTTCTTGACCAACCGATCATTTACTTGGAAAACTCGGCATTTGGCTTTGACACGGCGCCAGAATTGAGGAATTGAACTAGCCAATCACAGGTCGAAAGTTGTGCTTTCGATTAGCAAAGAACGATCCAATCACACATTTTAATAAACTCTCGCCATCTATGAGGTAATTATGTTTTCCATTATCAATGTCCTGAAAAGTGGCTCAAGAAAAGTTCATGTAATTCAGTTTGACTGTTGGTCGTGTGCCTGTCGTCCGATTTTCCACAAAATTAGCAACACAAATATCCTTTGCCCAATACTACCCTCACGTAAAGAAACTCTCGAGGGGTTAATAGAATCCCAAAGGTGATTGTGAATTTTGGTACCCAAGAAGGGTGAGATTTACAATTAAATCACAAGTTCTAAGTCTTGGTTGGTCTGCCTATTGCAGGTTAGATCACATGATAGCTATTTCTCATGAATCTCCCTAGTCAAGACAAGACTTGGTTGTCTCCGACTGTATATGAAGGATGCAGTTAATATGTTCTTTGTTGAGTGAAAGGACGGGGAGGGGCAACCCCCGTCTAGGCGTTATTATAAGGGTCCTACGTGACATTGACGTCGTTAAAAATTTGACATTGACATTGCCGAGCTGGATTTTTTTTTCTTCCTTTTTTCAAATGTTGCCTCTCTTCTTTTTCTTCTTTTGCTGCAGATCATTTCTTATTCCTTCACCCTCTTCATCCTCGCTCTGGCATCCTTAGAAAAAAAAATGGTCATGATCATGATCATTTGTCGCAAAGCGAACGCACCTATGACATCTTCGAGCGGTCATTACCGACGCGGCCTTGACGCCATTAAAAATTTGCTAACCTAGATTTGTTTTCTTTTTTCAAAAATTGAATCACTCTCTCCCTCATATTGACTTTTTCTTCTTCTGCAAATCATTTCTTATTCCTTTGTGGTCTTCATCCTTGCTCTCGCATCTCTAGAAAAAAAATGGTTGTGAGCATTTGTCGCAAAACGAGCACAGCTATGACATATTCAAGCGGCCATTGCTGCTAGAGTGAAGCTCGCGGCCATCATGCACACTCAAGTTCAAGCTTTGGCGGCCACTGGAGCTTTGAGCTCACGGCCGTGGCCATTCGAGCTCAAGCCCATGGCCGGTCTCTCTCCTCTTACTATGGCCGCTATTTCTAGGAGTTTGTGCCATGCGCACTCGAGATTCAAATTCATGGCCACTCTCGAGCTTTGTGCTCACAGCAATGGCTGCTCAAGCTTCAAGCTCTCAACATGGCGGCCCTCTCTTGTCTGATCACTCACAGCCATAGCCGCTTGTGCTGGGAATTTGTCACCATGGCTGTCGCATCTCTAACCCGTCAAGCTCGCGGCTGTGGCTATAAGAGCTCTTAGCTCCCTGCCAAGGCTACTCGAGCTTTGAAATCTTTCGGCCACACACGCTCGAGCTCAAGAAGGATGTTAGAATTAGTCACACAAACACAATGAAATAAAGAGTAAAAGAAGGAAGAGAAATCGAGACACAAGGTTTTATCCTGGTTCACCCTTAAATTAAAACTATGTCCAGTAGAGGATTCAACTATATGTAGCACCTCCCATCTCTCTATTACATCCCTCAATTACAAGAGAAAGATTATGTGACATCCGAAAAATTCCCGTGTTTGATAATAATATTTAGGACTAATTTCCATGATCGATCACTAAGAAGGTTAAGTTGATAGATTTCGATGTGGACATTCGTAGTGTAGGACAATAATACTAATTTTGTCACCGAATTATTTATTGAATAGGGCTAGTATGTTTCGAATTTCATATTTGATGATATTCAAGTTTTAAATTTATTGAATTGGGGAGAAGAACACTAGAAGTGCCAAAACTTATGTACGACACTCACTTTGGTGCCAAAAGTTTTCGCCGGCTCACTTAAATGCCAAATCAGAGGAAAAACGATCACTTAAGTGCCAACGGCGAGAAATTCCGGGCAAATTAATACATGGCTTTTATAATTAAATTTTTAATCTGAGTTGGATTTTTTTAAAAAAATAATAAGCCTACGTGGCATTTCCATGTGTACATTTAGATTTTTAAAATATTTTTTATGATTTTTTTTCCTTCTTTTCTTTTTTTCTTCTCCTTCTTCTTCTACCTCCAGTCACCGGCGGTGACCGGAGGCCAGCCACGGCCAGCTGCCTGGCCTCGCCCAGACGAGGCCACCGTCGCCCGCCACAGGCGAGGCCGGCTGACCCTCGCCCAAGCGAGGCAAGGCCGACCCTTGCCAAATCCGGCAAGACCGGCCGTCGCCGTGGCCACGGCGGCCTCACAGGGCGTCGCCTTCCCCCGGGAGAAAGTCGGCCTTGTCGGATCTGGCGAGGGTCGACCTTGCCTCACCTGGGCGAAGGCGAGCCCTAGCGAAGCGAGGCCGACCCTCGCCGGATCTAGCGAGGGCAAACCCCGGCAAGGCCGTTGTGGCCTGGGCGACGACTGGCCTCGCCGGATCTAGCGAGGGGAGCCCTCGCCAAGGCTCGTCCTTGCCCTGGCGAGGCGAGGCCAACCCTCATAGGGGCTCACCAGCCCTCGCCTAGGCAAGAATCGGCCGGGCCTCGCCTTTGGCGGGTGGCGGTGGCCTCGTCCAGGCAAGGCCAGGCGATTGGCCATGGCCAGTGGCCGCCCTCCGGTCACTGGCGGTGACTGGAGGTAGAAGAAGAAAAAAGAGAAGAAGAAAAAGAAAAGAAGGAAAAAAAATCATAAAAAAATATTTAAAAAATCCAAGTGTACATGCTAAACTACATCGTTTTGATGTGTACATGCTGACTAAACCTCCGACGAGCCACATCAGCTTCAGAAATTAATAAACAAATGCCACGTCAGATTTCTGGCCAAACTAACCGGAGTTGGCACTTAAGTAATCGTTTTTCAAAAATTTTGGCACTAAAGTGAGCGCCATACACAAGTTTTGGCACTTCTACTGTTCTTCTCCCTATTGAATTGAGATTCTCCTAATTTTTTATATCTTTCATTGATGATTTTAGTGGATTCAAAATTTTTTAGACTCAGCCAATGTTTAGAACAAAAATGTTTTCAGACTCACCAAGGTTCAAAATTAATGTTCAAAACGAATATCGGCTTCCTAAATCTCTATTTCACTTCAATTGGCACATCCACTTCTTTTTCTCTATCCAAAAATTTAAGTCAATGCTTTGCTTTGAAACATTAAACTTGGTAGATTTGAAATCATACATGACATCATCAATTTTAACTATAGTCCGTTAACACGTGTGACTCATGCCTATGGTTCATTACTGCTTTTGGTGACTCATGCCTATAGTTCATTAATGCTTTGTGTGACTCATGCCTATATTTCATTAATGCATTGATGATTCATGCACACACTTGACCGATGAAGAGGAGCCCATCTTCATTTTTATCAAAATATCTTCTTGTGTCAAAATTCTATCGGGCCATTTGCACTCTAGCTATTTTATAGGGGACACTTGAAGTCCATCTATTTTAGCATTTGACAATTTAACTCAAGGTCATTATGGCTTTAACATTAGTTACTCCATTCCATCTTATCATTTTACTGTGTGGTTGGATCCTTGGAGAATACTCAAGATCCTAGGATATAAATATGTACTTCGATGGTTTGTAATCACAAACTTCCTTCTTCCAACCTTCGATTTCAAAAACCCACAAATAGAAACGAAGGTCCCACACTCGAATTGATTAAAGTTTTTGTCTCAATCTATTGAGTCTAAACAAGGTGAATCATTTTGTTCCACTACTTTCTACCGACGGGATTTGTCATTTCAAAATCAAGCTTTGTCAATTTTCGGTTGTGTTTATTCTGTTTAAAGTGGAGACACTTTGAGTAAGCATTCACCTAATTATTACTAACATGTTTAGTCTCCTTCATTAGATATGCATATGAACAACTTCATATCGACTCATATTGGTGTTTAAATTAACTAGGACATTACAAATTGACATTAATCGACTGTCTTTCTAAAATTCAAGTAGTGAAAACGTAATACTAATTCTAAACCCCCACCTTTTCTTGCTCCGTTCTTCCTTTTCAGGTTCTTTGGTTTCATTACACTCGCAAGCCAGGTCCTCAAAGACTACCTTAAATGCAAAATTATAATAAGAGTCGACTCAGGATGCTGGTGTCCAAATCCATGGCAAATATTGCCTTCTTTGACGCATTCCCGCTTCCACTTTCCCATTTTGGCTCCTCCCAAGGAACTTGAAGCTACACATAAACTTTGTTTGCACAGAGCTTTCTAGACGAGTGTTAATGGCGTGTAAGAATTTGAACTTTTAAAGGGAAGATCTGCTTTAAAAAAAATAGCCTAAGTGGTATACACAAGCTCAATACCAACGAAATATTGACTTAAATTTATAAGTGGACAAAGAACATAAGTATATAAAAAATATAAAAATCCTGTAGACAGGCAATGCGAGATATATTAAAATATATCTTAAGTTTGAGCTCGTAGGCGAAATCCAATATGAAATTAATTATTATTTGTGAAGGTCTAAATATTTCGAATTGAATATTTTACGAATGTTCAAAATCGAGCAAAACATAATACGATAACTTCCTTTTCGCAAGTTGGAGTCGGTGAAGTTAATCAAACGGGAAACTAAACACTACAAAAAAAGTTGGTTTTAGCGACGAATTTTGCCACGAAAAATTTGGCAAAATTCGTCGCTAAACGAATTTGCGACGGAAAAAAAATTCGTCGCTAATAGGCCGTCGCAAAATTTTGCGACGGAAAATTTCAATTTTCGTCACTAATTTGCGACGAAAAAAAATTCGTCGCTAATTATTCGTGGCAAAATTCGTGGCTAATTTGCCACGAACTATATTCGTGGCAAAATTCGTCGCTATGGCAAAATTCGTTGCTAATTATTCGTGGTAAAATTCATCGCTAAATATTCATGGCAAAATTCGTCGCTAAATATTCGTGGCAAAATTCGTCGCTAATTTGCCACGAACTGTATTCGTGGTAAAATTCGTCGCTATTTTTTTCAAAAAAAAATTTTGTTCGTCGCGAAATTGCGACGAAATCTTTTCGTGACAAAAATCGTTGCTAATTATTCGTGGCAAAATTTATCTCTAATTTGTGACGAACACATTTCGTGGCAAAATTCGTGGCTAATTTGCCACCAAATTTTTTTTTGTCAGTTTTTTGCGACGAACTTATTCGTGGCAAAATTCGTGGGTAATTTGCCACGAACACATTTCGTGGCTAATTTGCCACCAAATTTTTTTTTGGTCAGTTTTTTGCGACAAACTTATTCGTGGCAAAATTCGTGGGTAATTTGCCACGAACACATTTCATGGCAAAATTCATGTCTAATTTCCCACCAAATTTTTTTTTTGTCAGTTTTTTGCGACAAACTTATTCGTGGCAAAATTCGTGGCTAATTTGCCATCAATTTTTTTTTTGTCAGTATTTTGCGATGAACTTATTCGTGGCAAAATTCGTCACTAATTTGTCACGAAAAATTTTGACTTTTGCCACAAACATTGTTCCGAAATGAATTTAGCGACGAATTTTAATGAATAATTTAGCGACGAATGTTGTTTAGGGACGATTTCGATTTGAAATCTAATTAACAGCAATTATAGAATTTATATTTAACATTGATAGAATCACAGTCAAGACAAGAACAAACACAAAAAAGAAAGAAATGGAACAAAGCACTAAATTTGTATGAAAAATCCTTGAGAGGATCCAACAAATTCAACTACTTCAAATCCAGTTCGCTCTCTTGTTGCAAACTGTTGATCTTGCCAAGAAGTTCTTTCACGTAGTCACGTAGTCTATAGTGTCTCCAAGAATCGAAGTCCTGTCCATCTGCAGCGCAAACATCACAATATCAAACTCCTAACCCCTCTTAATTTTTTCACATCTATTCAACAGCAGAAAGAGGGGTGTTCAAAAAAGAATATATTAGGCTATGCTCACACAAAAGACCAATTTCAAAGGGCATGTATGCAAACCGAACGCTTATTGTCATGTAGCATAACTTAGTGAACCCAGGGCACAATTCTTTGCGAACTGACTCATCAAATATCTAATCCAAAGTGATATCTTGTAAAGCCACCAAAAGTGGTCTCTAATATGTCAAGTCCTACCTAGTTTGCAAAGATGAAAATTGGAATAGACTGCCAAACCAAAAGGAAGACCGTCATTAATCATTCCTAATTACATACATGGCAAAATTCACTTTTAACAATTTCGAGTAATACAAATAACAGATAACAACACAATATGGCATCATGATCATTCGAAAGATTCTTCAAAGAATCAGTGCCAAGTAATTCAAATCCCAGCAACTCTGTTCCTAGAATGCACGTGCGTGCGTGAACAAGGGAGAGAGATAGCCGAGCATCAGCTTGATTAGTCCATTGTCTCTCGTGTACATATGCAAAAACAGTTGTTGAACTTTTAACAGAATCGATACATGTGCATTGAACAAATGCAACAACTAATAACTTGTCCTATAAATAAATAGATAATGCTGAAGCAAGCTTACCCTCGAGTTTGGAAATTTTAACTAGCAAGGATCATCATCATCATCAGCATCATCATCAGCAATGTCATTATCGTTGTGTCGCTCATCATTGTGCCCATCACCTACTGGATTAGTGGGAGGTACAGGAGGAACGTCATCTTAATCGAGGTTGAGGTGTCGCATGATCAATTGCAAATGTTGTTTCACTCCTCTTATTTCTTCGTCCTTCTGTACAAGTAAATGTTTCAGTTGGTTCAATTCTTGGGTCATTTGCTCCTCGTGTTGTGTCCTCCTTAAAAAAGCCGCATTGGAGGATGAAGTTGCAGCAGCCGGCGTTGTGTATATCCTTGACAAGGATCCCATCCCAAATATTTGACCTCTTCTTATTCCACCCGATGCCTCAACCCATAATGCCATACTGTCAACCGGTGGCTCGGACGCAGCAACACCATCACCATCACCACTAGCAGCAGTGCTCATTACAAGTTCATCATATTTGTCCTACATTAACAATATAGATGAAAATAAAAAAACTTCATATATATAACTACAAAGTATAACCTTACATACCTTAATAGCTTTTGCTCGAGCGTCAGTCCATGTCTTATCTTTTTTCTGAAATGTGCGTTTAAATGTAGCTATAAATGTCGGTTCCGTCCTAATTCATCTGCCTACAAAATATAAACATAAATGAGTAATCATTGAATTAATTTACAATATGTTTAACAGACTTACCATTCTTTTTCTATGCTCCCCGATGTTGATAGAGCCCCCAGCATATGTGGCAGACCCTTCACTAGAACTAGAAACTCGATTCTTCTTATTTATTTCACTGATTTGCTTATGCTTTTCGGTGTCCCAAGTTCTCTTAATTTTCGCCCAATTGTCAGCTGTAATAAAATCCGGCTTTTCTTGACTTCTCTTTGCTCTATTCATCACATTTCGCATGTGATCACCGGCTTCCTTCTTAAAAATTCTTCTAACTTCTTGCTCTTCCGCTTCATCCCACCTGAACTTCCGCTGCAAACAATCAATAGAAAAACAATTGTACACTCAGTATGCTAAACAGAACTTAGTTTATGAGAAAATAGAATGACAAAACTTACCTTAAACTCATTCCACTACAATTCCTTTACTTCTTTTGGAGCGGTGGTCCAACTACTATACTGCCCCATCCAACAGTTATTGATTATTTTATTAAGTTTCCTCACAACATACGTAGCATCCGTGAATCTGCAAACAGGTTATAACAATGTCAATATACGTAGCATCCGTGAAGCATACGAACAATTCAGTTGACATCCATAATAATTTACATATACTTAAAAAAATGAAGTACTTACGAATCTCCAAATGGGGATATCATGAATCAGCTATCTTCTTCATCATTTGAGTGTTGCATTGAAGAAGAAGGTGGAACCGAAGGCGATGGAACTGAAGTAGATTCAGTTCGCATTTGAGGGTCGGAGGAAGGGCCAATGTGTCCATCAGCATGTACTGGTTGAGGGTTAGATGAAAGGGCAGGGGAAGAGGAAAGGGACAGGGACGAGGACGAGGAAGGGGAAGAGCCTGGTCTTCTTTGTGAAGCTACACCACGACGCATGTGACTTCCACGTTTATACTAACAAGTTGGAAGGTTAGACAAATATGTTAAAAAATATGAACATGTATTAGGGACACATAATGATGTACGTCGTGAAGCTTACCATTTTGTTTTTGAGAGCAAGAGATAAACTTGGCCCTTGATAAAAAGCAAGCTGTCCGAAAATGTCTACGAGCTTAATTTCTGATCGTACAACGGTAAAATAGGGAGAACAACAGCAATAATAGGCAGTATTCCAGAAAAACATATGCTGCTTGGTCGGTGGCAGCAAACAGCCCAATATTCATCAAAAGAAAATTAACTTCAAGCCACTAGAGTTGCAGCAATAAGAGCTAAACAACACTACTTGTTGCAACAGCTTCCCAACTACCAGTTTACACTCGAAGGTTGTTCAGTGTGACAATTGGAGGACAGGCAAACAAAAGGATTGGTTGAACACATAAGGATTTAATCTTGCCTGAAGTCTAGTTTTAATGGTGTCAATTGGGTAAAGTGCCGCTTCAACAACAACACCAGCCGTACCTCCAGCAACAACGCCCTCTACAAAGTCAATGAAACACAGTCAGACAATCAAAGAAAACTCTTCTTTCATTCTGCGAGATATACTAGCGATTAGTTTGCCGTTCCTTAAAAGGAATAACATCAAAGTTTTACTAGCAAATTTACACAAGAGGAAAATGTCTTTCTAAGGTCAAGAAGAACACACAGAGAGTGTGATGTCCCAAAAGAAGGGGAAGTGCATATAAAGGGAGAAAAATTGATCAAAATGACTGCAAAAGAGTCATCCTTTACCATTTATGATGCTACAATTGAAGGAAATAATGAGAGAAAATGAATCAAAAACATTTCGTCAAACAAATTTTCGCGTACCCAATACAAGACCAACATTTTCACTTATAATTTAGTGAAGAATTCAAGATGCACCAAAAAAATATCGACAAATTATATATTCACCACCAGCTTTGATATCAATGCCCCGCCCAGAACTAAACACCTTGAATTCAAGATCCAGCAAGAGGACATACCATACACCATTCGCCAAAAATCAAAAGGCAGGCCTTCCCTGACACCAACTTGCAGAAACTTCCCTTTCTGGTATCCGCCCAAATCGCGGTCCGCCCCACCTGTTACAACAAACCTACATGACATTTGTCATCACATTCTAGCCGATTTTTTATTCGTTTCAATATTCAAACCTAGATATAAATAAAATAATAATGAAACGACTCCGAAACGCCAAAAAAAACTCAAACCGAACTGAAATCATTGTTCATCCAGAATGGTTTTTTGCTCAAAAACCCATGTAAACGACTTCGAAACGCCAAAAAACGACTTACGACATGGCCAAAGGCCGTGATTTTGGATCAACGGGCCATTTCCACTTGACCGACCAAATTTCAGCTCATTCCGACCACATTTCATCTCATTTCTACCAAATTTCAAACGAATTTCAACCAAATTTCAACCCAAATCCAACCAAATTTCAGCTCATTCCGACCACATTTCATCTCATTTCTACCAAATTTCAAACGAATTTCAACCAAATTTCAACCCAAATCCAACCAAATTTCAGCTCATTCCGACCAAATTTCAACCTAAATCTGACCAAATTTCAGCTCGTTTCCACTCGGCGAACAGAATAAATTCGCTGGAAATTCCATTTACGGCTAACAGTCAACCATTCTGTTTTGCCCACGAACAGAATCAAATTCGTGGGCGAAATAGAACCATTCTGTTTCGCCCACGAACAGAATCAAATTCGCCCACAAATAGAACAATACTTAAGCAAAAGCAGCAGACCCAATCTGTTTCGCCCAACGTCCAACAGAAGCAAAAACAGCAGACCCAACACAAACAACAGAAGCAGAAGCAGAAGCAAACGTCCACAAAAAAATTTAGAGAACGTACCTCTAAAACTCTCAGACGATGATCCTCGCACTAGGTGTCCTCGCGCTTCCCAGCGTCCGCCACCGAAGAACGCCGAGAATTGCGCCGAAGAATGCCAAAGAACGCCGAAGGTCGCCGAGAATCGTTTGATCGAGAGAGAGAGAGAGACAGAGACAGAGACAGAGAAGAGGGAGAAGAGGAAGAGAAGAAAACCCTAAATTGTTCGATTCAGACAGAGAAGAAAGCCTAATACTAGTTCTACCCGCAAATGAAGACGATGCCGTTTTGCTAATTTCCGCCGAAATTAGCCACAGATTAAAATTCGTGGCTAATATCGTGGCAAATTAGCCACTGATTCAAATTCGTGGCTAATTCCGTCGCACATAGGCACGAATTTTAATCCATGGCTAATTTGCCACGATATTAGCCACGAATTTTAATTTTGTCACGGCAAATTCGAATCGAAATAGAAAATGGTCGCGGCAAACCCTAATATTTTTTCCGTGGCAAATTAGCCACGGATTTAGCCACGAATTTCATTTCTACTAGCCTTTAATGAAATTCGTGGCTAAATCCGTGGTAAATTAGCCACGGATTTGAAAAAAATTGCCCACACACGCCTATGCCACGGATTTAGCCACGAATTTGAAAAATAGGCTAGTAGAAATGAAATTCGTGGCTAAATCTATGGCAAATTTGCTACGGATTTAGCCACGAATTTCAAAAAAAAATGAATTCGGCGTGTGTGGGCATTTTTTTTTTAAATTCGTGGCTAATTTGCCACGGATTTAGCCACGAATTTCATTTCTACTAGCCTTTAATGAAATCCGTGGCTAAATCCGTGGCAAATTAGCCACGGATTTAGCCACGAATTTGAAAAAAATGAAGTAGGCGTTGTGGGCATTTTTTTTTTCAAATTTGTGGCTAAATCCGTGGCTAATTAGCCACGGATTTAGCCACGAATTTCATTATAGGCTAGTAGAAATGAAATTCGTGGCTAAATCCGTGCAAATTTGCCACGGATTTAGCCACGAATTTGAAAAAAAATGAATTAGGCGTGTGTGGGCATTTTTTTTCAAATTCGTGGTAAATTTGCCACGGATTTAGCCACGAATTTGAAAAATAGGCTAGTAGAAATGAAATTCATGGCAAATTTGCCACGGATTTAGCCACGAATTTGAAAAAAAAAATGAATTAGGCGTGTATGGGCATTTTTTTTCAAATTCGAGGCTAAATTTGTGGCTAATTTGCCACGAATTTCATTATAGGCTAGTAGAAATGAAATTCGTGGCTAAATCCGTGGCAAATTAGCCACGGATTTAGCAACGAATTTGGAAAAAAATGAATTAGACGTGTGTGGGCATTGCCACGGATTTTGCCACGAATTTGAAAATAAATGAATTAGGCGTGTGTGGGCATTTTTTTCAAATTCGTGGCTAAATCCGTGGCAAATTTGCCACGGATTTAGCCACGAATTTGAAAAAAAAATGCCCACACACGCCTAATTCATTTTTTTTCAAATTCTTGGCTAATTTGCCACGGATTTAGCCACGAATTTGAAAAAAAATGCCCACACACGCCTAATTCATTTTTTTTCAAATCTGTGGCTAATTTGCCACGGATTTAACTACGAATTTCATTTCTACTAGCCCACACACGCCTAATTCATTTTTTTCCCGACAATAACGTTTCAGTAACAATAATAGCAATAATAATAATAATCAACAACAACAATAATAATTATAATAATAATAATAATACAAACAACAACAACAACAATACTAATAATTACGACAACAACAATAATAATAAATATGACAACAACAATAAACTCTTGTCGTAATAATAATAATAATAATTACGACATAATTAGTAAAAAGTCTCAAAAATCTAAATCTTCATCTTCACCTTCGTCTTCATTTCGATCTTCATCTTCTTCATGAGCATCATCGTCATCATCATCATCGTCGTCTGTCTCAAAATCAGATTCTGCAATACCTTCTAAATTTGATTCGCGAATTTCAGTTAGTTCTACATCTATCATTGCTCCACATGGATCTCGTAGAGTTGGAATGTTATATTCCTCAGTTTGAACCGTGTTACAAACTTCCTCTTGTTGATATGCTGTATCCTTCCAGTATTCCTCGATTCTTCTTCGTGCTTTGATTTTACATACAGCCCACCAATCAGCTTTGTCACGTTTCAAACTAGGATATGATGCATAATATACTTGAATTGCTTGTTGTGTCAACACAAATGATTCATATTTCATATACCTTTTCTTGTGATTTATTTCAGCCAAATTAAACTTCGTATGCACATTCATTCCTTTGACGGGGTCGAACCACATGTACTTAAATAACAAAACCCGCATTAATGGTCCGGGGTACTCTATCTCCATGATTTCATCCAACAAGCCATAAAAATCATCTTTTGAACTGCCACCATTGGATGACCGAACACACACACCACTATTCATTGTGGCTTTTCCCATTCCATATTCTTGAGTGTGAAAATTATACCCGTTTATGAAATATGCTGGCCAAGTTCGTACTCTTGACTTTGGACCCCATGACAGATGATATAGCAATCCTTGCTCTTCAACTTGATCATGATTACTGTGAACCTAAGGTCACACACGCAAAGTCAATAATATATATTTAAATGATGTATAAAATATTAATAACTTGGTTTTGGTCCATAGGCAACTTACATATATTTTGAACCATGCTGTAAATTGTTCATTGCACAAACGGTCAAACTCATTTGGTGGTAGTCCATACATTGAAGTTTGAAAAATCCTATTAACAATTTGCATTTATATATTAGTAAATATTTGACACGCAATACATATATTTGCAAATATACACTTACTCGAAGTATGGCTCCACTTCTGGATAGTTCAGTAAAATATATGTATGGGCTGCTTGCCGTTCTTCGCCTGTTAAGCAACGAAACTTACATGCGCCGCTTGGTCGACCGAAATAATTGAAAATAGAGAATGATTTGCAATTGGGATCAATGGGACCCTCATCATTTCTTCCTGCTCTCTGCCTCTTGCACTGCACGTGCGGCTCAAAATAGTATGATGCAAATGTTGTCACTTCTTCCACAATATATGCATTACAAATTGAAGCTTCAATACATGCCTTATTCTTCACTTTTTTCTTCAAATGATATAAGAACCTAGTTGCAATAGAAAGAAGTTTATCAGAACATAATATATAATAAAGTATTTTGAAATTTATTTTAAAAAAATCTTTTCCTCTCAAATGGATACATCCATCGAAATTGGACGGGACCTGCAACTTTGGCCT